AAGCAAGTACAGAGTAAAACGTGAGCCAGTTTCAGTCAAGCTCTGAAGAAGCCAACAGGAGATTGGCGGAACCTCAGCAAGTTCGACTCAGCAAAAACCGACGCAGGAGGAAACCAGTTTTGTAAGAAGTAAATACTAATATTCAAATATTATTTTTTAAAATTGTTTTCTAAATTCTTGACAGTTGACTTATTGGCAGATCAATAAATTATTGTACCAAATGAAGAAAAACTGTTAATTTGGAAATTAATGTCATTTTCAATTATTTTCTTTTACGAGGATAACTGGGGCATCATATTACTTTGTTGTGTGTTTAATGTTGGTTTAAAATGGACCGATGTTAGATATTTGGAATATTTAGGAGGAATAATTAGAAGTTACTATTTTAGTTTTAATAAACATAAGGATTTTTTAAATCTTTATAAAATTATATAGAACACTTACAACTGCAATGAGAGCGGCATTCGTTACTCGTCAAAATTAACATTTTCTTCAGAAGGCTACTTACAAATCTTCTAGATCTCTTCTGCATCGTTTGTTTATAAACAAAGCTAGCTGACGTTTTGCCAATCATCCTGATGGCTTCTTCAGAGCTTAAGTGAAGCTTGCTCACATTCTATTCTTATATACTTTTATACTTTTTGAGAGAGGCGGAGCTAAAAGAGGGACATAAACATTGTCTCAGATTTCCATATTGGTGAAGGACAGAGTCGCGGTTAAGATGGTTTGGTTGTTTAGAGATTTCTATGAATTCTCGGATATTTGCGGGTAGAAGAATCGATTACATTGATTAATTTTTAATTTATTTGTCATAGTCGTATATTTTTTGTTCTGTTTCTCTGGTTAGTTTTGACATAGCTCTTTCAGATATATTGCAGTTCGGGAATCTGGAATCAAATCTATTCAACCGAATTGAAAAATACTTGTCTGAAACATATTTTTCGTAACGGTAAAATTTATGAACAGGACCATCTCTGAGATCTCCAGGATGGTTGGCGAAACGTCAGCAAGGTCGATTTATCAACCACCGACGCAGGTAGAATGCAGAATATTTGCAAATAGTCTTACATTATTCTGTGAAAGTTTCCTTTAAAAAAAAATCTTTAGAAATCTTTTGCTAGACAAGTTTGATAAACGCCAGATTAATTTATTTGGCACCAACGGAGGGAATGCTTAATAAATGAATGACTGAACAAGTTTACAAGGTGTTGCATACTATACGCGTGCCTTGACCATCAGAATTGACAAACCAAAGCCCTGGCTAATATATCACCGGAAATATCCGAAGCCGCTCGCAGCCCTAGGTAACGTCTTTAAGCCACACTGCAGCAGCAAAAGTTGAAATGTGCACAATAATCCCATATTTAATATATCCCATTAGCGTAAGAGAATTTCATGACTGCATGTCCCATAAGACGGGACCACTGTGCAATGTATACAAACTTGTTATAAAAAGAACCACCGAAACTTGAAGAAAATCAAAGACTAAACCTAAACACACTCAAAAAAAAAAATTTCAGCCACTTTCTTACCTTTCAATCTCAGGGTAGTAAAAAATAAAAGCATTAATTAATGAAATTTGAAATTTATTAGTGAGGTTAGACAATGCCCAGGCTAGCTCACTAATAAGAAAAATTAATAGAGTAAAAAAAAATTACTAAATAGAAGCCCAAGTTCGAAGGCGGTGAAGGGCACCTTGGTCAGTCCCGGAAAGGTCAAGGTAGGCGCCAGGTGATTCAAAAAAAGTAAACCTATTAAGATAAGGTTCCAACCCGAAAAGGAAATAAACAAATGAATCACGAACAATAATTTATTTCCTCCAAATTCCTGGGCAAGAGTAACAACAGTAAAAAGTGTAAATGGAGCAAAAGGCATATAAATCTCTACTTGGTGGTAGGTGTGTCATATCTCACCTTCAAACTTTGGCAATAGAATGTAAGGCACTATAAATTATTAATCAATGAATTATATCTTTGATTTAAGAATGTACGTTCCGCAAACAGTTTTTGAACGTTACACAGCTGTCTGTTATTATCCCGATAACCAAGCCACAAGATGGAATGCCGGCTTAATGAACAGCAGCACATGGGCAGTCCCAGATAAGTCAGCAATGTCCGTCAGGATAGGGGAACTCGTCAACCAAACATGTATGCATGAGACAGCATACACTGCAAGACACCAACTCTAGCGAAGCTCTCTGGTATTCCGATGAAAAAAGAAACCATGTGGAAGGTTAGCGGGAAACGAAGAAGAGAGAAAAAATGAAAATAAAACCGGCATAAATTGAGGAACACTGATTAGGTGCCAAAATGGTTCCAAAACCAACTTACCTCGATTCTTTTTCAAAATCGCTCGTTGAGGAAGATTCCCATTCCAAATTCCAAATAGATCTAAAAGTATGAGAAATCACAAATTAGTGACCAATTTACATATCCCCCTCTTATTGGGGTAGCACTACCGGCTCAAAAAGAAATCGGACACACAAAAGAAAACCTGCCACAGCCCCAAGCTTCACTAGAGAGCGTACAAAGTACAAAATACCGGACGGTCAGACAAACAATTTTATTAAATAGGCTAAACGGACACAAAAAATTAGAGGGAAAACGCCACTCTCGCCAACCTAGATCGAACTACCCGAACGCTATATATGATGGCGACCGGTCGGCCATTTCCAGAAAATCGAGGAAGAATAGGTTAAGAAAACAAAACAATGTTTATTAGGCCCGTTATCGAATACCGGAGCAATGAAAAGCAAATGTGGTTCCCAATCTCATATTGTGACGGATAATAATGGTTACGACTCCCTTTAATGCGCAACTAATACTCTGTTTTTGCATTAGTATCTCTCAGTAAACCGGTGTCACCTAATGGTGGATGTATAGGATGTTTGAAATAATACGGTCCCCTATGTGGTGAAAAAGGAATAACTTAACAAAAATTTATAGTCTATTTTGTTTTTTCTATATTTTTATAGTATGGTATATATAATGTAACATACCCTGTCTATTAGTGATTCTTTTGATTCTCACTAAAATCTACACCTTTACATTTTATAGGTAACCAAAGTTTGAAAATTACAACAAATATTTAGATTTATACGAATTTAAGGACAATTTCCATCGCGTTTCATTTAAGAAAAATTTATAATGTTTAAGGCCAACTAAATTTGCTTGTAAGCATCAAAATGTCATAAATTAGGAATATAAACAAAACTAGACAAGTTTGGTTTTTTTCAATATCTCTATTGATAGGCCGCGACATATTTGAGACACCCTTTACATAATTAACGGATATATTTCCTTTCATGTGTCAGGAATTTACAAAATTTAAAACTTGGTAAACTATTTTTTTGATGCTAAATTCGCTATTTGGAAATAATAATTTTCGCTACATATTTTTATATCGCCGAGAACTTATCTACTAGTCCATTATAATTAAATAAACCTAAAAAAATAAAATTATTATCGTCACTTGATACTTCCATTGTATCTTGTGAAGATTCTGGATTTTTTTTCTGACGGAGCTGACTCTGTCCCGCTTCTTTGGTTCAGAACTTTAAGACTCAGTTAAAAATTTTAATCCTTGCTGACTGTAATCCTTATTTGTCTTTCTCGAACTTTCGAAAGAACTTATTATATTTCGAAATATTGGGTCAGATATACTAATAAAATGATTAAATAAGGGAAAATATTTTTACTTGATAAAATGTTCCAAACCGTTTGTGCCTCTTCGCTCAGCGCTCCCAAAAACAATATTTTAAACATTAAAGTTGTATAGACATGCTTCACAATACGCTTAAAAATGATAGTCAAATTAAAATTTACCCAATTTACCTGTTATATTCCTCGCGTTGCTGTATATGTACGACGTCAGAAAAAAGAATGACAACAACAAGATAAAACAAAACATATTCGAAGTAAACAAAAATTCGTGTTAAAAACGTATGTATTATTTTTGGTTGTGGTAACTAACAGAGCACTTTACATGAAGGCCAATATCTTATTTTAAACAACGCAACGCAAGTTGTTTTCATGTGGCAATAACTACATTTGGTTTGACGATCTTGTGGAATCATGCATTCCATCAAATCGCGAAAGGCTATTTTGTCAATACAGAATAATTATCAGGTTTTTCATTTGTCTGAAATATAGAACAGGCAATTCCCCTTCAAAAAGCTAAATGGTCTCAACCTGAGGCTCATCTTTCCACAACCTGCTTAGCTTCCAAGCATTTGGTATGGCCATATCTATACAATGTGCAAATAAACATATACCATTTTTTGCCTCGGATTTCTGCTCTATACAAAGACATTTTGGTTGCTCCCATCGACCCCTACCGCTATTCTTGTTATATATTAGCATAAATTGTTGAGGAAGCAAGATAGTTTTTTTTTCTTGCTGGGAATACCGTTTTACTATCCGTATGGGATTTACACCGACAGCATTAGATATCAAAGAAACAACGATATTAGCATTCCAACTAACGGTTATTATTATTTTTTTCTATGTCAGATTCATGATCATATGTACCTCTGGGGCATTTTTTGAGATGAACCCTCTAGTGCATTTTTTTTCAATGCGGTTCGAACAGTTCCGGTCCTCGAAAATCCTCAGAAGATAAACAGTCAAAAAGATCCATATTTGAAAGAAGGTTATCAAAGAGCAAATGAAAGCTGTTTTAAAACGTTTTAAAAGCTGACCTACATAAAAAAGAACGCCAGCACCATAACCAACCAACCAGAACCAATTTTTTTGTACTTTGCTCAGATGAGCCCTTTATAGGGCTTAAACCATTTGCTGAACAACCTAGGCAAATCTTATAACCTCCAGTGAATTGGTTTAGCCCGTATAAATTGTTTTATAGCTATGGATAAAAATCAAATTTCAAAATATAGACCCATATACCTTCTTCGTATATTATTAGAGATTGTGGTGTATGGCCCCGCCGTGCGGATTAATCGGCTTCCTACTGTAGTTCTAGTTTGCAAATAATTTTTGTAGGTCAATTGGTGCTGACTGTCAGACCGAACGTGCTCTACCAATCGCTGGAAGAATACGAGGAGCCTCCATATCAATATGTTCCGGCCACCGACAACGGCGCCCCTTCCGGGAACGCCTTGCAACAGAGTATGTATCTGCTGGCCGACGGGTTGGCGAGCGGCGCTCTGATCGCTCGCTACGAGATGCTGTACAGGAAACACGCCGACATGTCGTGCGACGAGGCCTGCAAACAGACGAACGTCAATAAGAACCGTTACAGAGACATATTGCCGTGTAAGTTTCGTACCCTGAATAAATTATTTTGTAGTTTAAACTAAAATTTTAGTACCACTAATTTTTAATAATACTTAGCTTTGTTGCATTAACCATTAATAACACTATAATAAATTTGGTAGCATGTTCTTTGAGCCTAGTTGATATTTTTTGGTCTTGTCTCTCCAATGTGCCGCATGTGCATGGAATGCTGTAAACTCCTGGTATCTCAAATGGAATTTTGTCTTTGACAGATCGAAGATGTTGAGAGATGTTTGGACAAGTGGTAAATCTGGTTTTGATATGTCGTCAGTGATGTTTTTAATTTAAGAGAGAATAATAGTGGCTAAGTTGGGTTCCTTTGAGACTCATTGTTTTTGGAAGGTGGGGAAGCGAATTTTGTGCAGAGACGAGAGCAGATATAAGGTGTTTTAATTCTGGGCTCAGTGACTGTGGTTGAGAAAATTGTACCACTCTGTAAACAAGAGAGATTTATCCATCTGTGTGTGTAGGTTTTCTGTAAACAGAATAACCCCATGTTAGTTATGATTTCCTATTGATAAGAATATGTGAGAATGGGAGATTATTATTTGTTTGTTATGTTCCAGATAAGGATTTTAGTGGTAAAGAGGGATTCTACCTTGAACGAGAATATGGTTTGGATCTAATGTAATGGTTTTTAATGGTCCAATGAAATGAAAGGAAATACGAAACTATCAGTTTTCGCTGTAAAGGGTTTTAATATAGAGGCTTAATATTTTTCTAGAGGATAATTGTATGTTTTCTCGGATTCTGATAGAGAAGAAGCCTTAACAGATTTTGGAGCAATGCATTCAGGCATTGGAATATTAGATTTGGGAGATTTGGATTGGACTAACCAATATTTATAGAGAATTTGACGTTACTTTTAATATTATTAATTTAATTTTCATTTTGAAATATCATCACTGAGGATTAGGTACAAGCAAAATTAGAAACGACACTGTTGCTTGGTTCGTTAACACATTTATCAGAAGAACAAAACTTAAGTTGATAATGATGATAATCACGAAACTGTAATGATGTTGGAAATCCGGTTGTAAAAATCGGAAAACAGAAGTGGACCTAAAATACTATCCTGGGGTAGTCCGTTGTCCAAAGGACTGGAGGTTGTTTCGTTAAGTATTATTTTCTGTCTGTTTCTGTCATTTAAGAAAGGATAATACAACTTTACAAGACAATTCACTGATTCCTATGCAATGAAGAATTAAAGGGAGTTTTATTATCATTATAAGCCTTAAAAATATCGCCCATTACGTGTGTAAGAGAGCTTTCACAAGTATGAGCAGATGTAAACCTGATTTTTTCGGCAAACATTGTAAATATTAAGAAATACTCTTATTTTCTTGTCCCAGTCTCGTTTCCGCCGTGAAATCATCGATTGCCAAATCTCTTGTGAAGATTTTTAAATAGTACCTTATTGTATAAAACATTAAATTCAACAATGCTAAAACCTCCGGATTTTGTACTTTTCAAAGGTCAGTGTGTAATAATCAGACTAATATCTGCAATTTAATTAGCAAATTTGCAAATTAATTTTCGATAAAACTCAACTATAGGAATTTTAGGTGCTACAAGAGATTTACCCACAGCGGGACGCCGATACGGTATGGATTAAAACCAACTGTATTTTTCCGAGAAAATCAAAGAATCACAATATTTACCTCGCTTATGTTGTATTTCTAATAGTTATTCTCACATTTCAGACGACGAAACCAGAGTAGTTCTCGCAAATGCACCCAGCGGTGATTACATCAATGCCAATCACGTTCGCATGATTATACCAAACAGCGATACAGTTAACCATTATATCGCCACGCAGGGTAAGTTTCAATGGCTTCGTTGAGCAAATTCTTGAAGGTTAATTCTGTTTTTGGTATTTGTTGTTGTTTGGGTAAAAAGATATAGGTTTCTCCAACGGTCAGTTTGTAGGATCCTAACTCCCTATTACTAATTTCTTCAGTTTGTTTATGGTTATAGTTTTTCGGTTCTTTTCGACATAAAATTCTTTTGAGGACTAGAAGGCGGTAGGTAAATATTTCCTAAGTGCCCGGTTTTTATCTAATTTACTTCATATTCCTACTGGTATTCCGAAAAATTTGCTTCAAAGCGATATGTCAGCCAATTGGCAATTCGGAAAAAATAGTTCATATTTGCGTTGTATTTTTTATGTTGATATAGTTTAATAAAATAAATAGGTTCAAGAATAGGCTTAAAGATAACACGTAAACATTAAGTTCGTAAGTAATATTGCCATATTTGTTGACGTGTAGCAGCGTCACCTCCAGAGAAAAAATTCGCTAATAAGGATTGATTGATTGGTGGCGGGTTGCTATATCGTGCAAAAGCCCAAATAAGAAAAAACCCGTTTCAGTGGATTTATTGTCTTTTTAGCAATACTATACAAATGGTTCCTGATAATTTTTAACAGCAACCTAAACAATTTGATAAATTGACGCCTCAAAAAATAACAGCGTTTGTGTTTTGGTTAGTTTTGGTTAAAATTTTTTACTATTTTTTTTTTAAATATAGTTAAGGCACCACTTTTTATTATTATAGACTTTAACTGGTAGCACTCTTGAGCTGTACCAAGATCAAATTTAATGAAATATACCGGCTGATCTAAATTAAGTGTTCATCATTGGTAACTTTGCTATGAGTAGAGCTACAAAGTCGGTTAAATTAGTATTTTTTTCACTGATTACAATGGAGAAAACAAAAAAAAATACAATTTGAAAGTAGGGTTTTAGGAAAAAATGAGAAAAATGTACCCTTTTTAAACGGAAAACCCTCTATTGAACAAAAAAGATCATATGCAATATTAGCCTAAAATTTTAGACTAGTGTAAGAAACAATAATGTCACCAATTTTCACGTCTTCATTTATTATAAAATTTTTTCGTCTCCTTTTAGAAAACACGGTTTCATTATTTTTAAAGATTCGATAAAGGCGTAGAAAACCCTGTCAAATAGATTAATGTGTTAATTATTACTGTTATATCAATTGTTATCAATTATTGAAATTAATTTTACTGTATTACTTATTCAGGAATAGTTTTTACGATGAAGAAAAGTCATGCAATAAAATCATCTGTATGGGCATGAACCTATATCCACAGCGCGTGCCACCTCATCAATAATTTTTACTGCACCTTTATCGAACCTTTAGAAATAATGAAATCGTTTTTGCAAAAAGGAGACGAAATTTTTTTTATTATAAGTGAAGATGTGGAAATTGGTGTTTTTCGATATTTTGGAGCATGAGCATTAGTTGAAACATAGTCAAAGACTACTTATCCTTTAATACTGTCCAAACAGATTTAAAGAAAAAATCAAATTTTGCCCATATAAATTCCGATCAGCTCCGGAAGGATATGCAGAGAGTTTTTTTTTGTCATTGTTATGTTAGCTTTTGCGGCCAACACAATTAATTTTCGGTATTTTGTGGACTGACGAATCAAATTCTTGAATGTATAATCCAACAAATCATCATTATTGGTCAAGAGAAAATTAATTGTTAGTACATCATTGAGGTCCATAAGTTCGTTTCAGCTTTAACGTCACTGTAAAGGGTTGGGGGAAGGTGGTTGTAAATCACCCTCAAAATTTAAACGAGAAAGAGCGGCAAGAAAACGGTAGGATATACAACACCCGAAACGGTTAATCACCCACCTTGATGGTTTCCCGCGTCGTCGTCTGCCCGGCCGGGTCTTCTTAGGGGTATTTTCTGGAAGGTTGGGGGTGGTAAGGACCACAACACAGCGCGGGGTTCTCGCGAACCGGTCACAAAAGAGAGCTTGTTTTTTCTTGGTCGCACTACGGACGCTCACGCAAGTCTGTCTTTTCGCGCGGCTTAACCAAGGTTGGGTATGGTGGGGGTGTTGTATACACAGCGCAAAAATAAAAAGTTAACCCAAGGGAAAAAAAATTATGAAGTTACCGAAAAATGTTATTCAACCCTTAACATTCCGGCCTCCCAAAAATACCCAAATTTTCGCATAAACTTATCCTATACTATATACACGGTTGCCCCTTGAACAGGTTAACAGTTAGGGACAAAAGATAATTTGACCAAAGGTCGATCGAAAGTGCCTTTGGCCGTGTGCACTTGCACAACGCGAATTTCCTTGTCGGAACTGGGGTACAAGCGCGTGATGCGGCCCAGAAGCCACTTTAACGGGGGGAGGTTCTCGTCTTTAATTAAAACCAACTGACCAACTTTTGGGGGGTTAGTCGTGGTGTTCCACTTGTGCCGTTGCTGCAGCTGGTGGAGGCATTCCCGATGCCATCTGTCCCAGAAGTGCTGATGCAACTGCTGCATGAGCTGCCAACGAGTGAGTCTGTTAGTGTTCAGATTACCTAAGGGTCGTCGGGAGGGGCAGATAGGGGCTCCAGGGTCAGAAAATGCCCAGGAGTAAGGCTATGCAAATCGTTTGGGTTGGAACTCAAACTACATAATGGGCGGGAATTCAGTATTGATTCCACCTGAGTTAACACTGTCGACATTTCCTCGAAAGTCAGGATTTGAGAGCCTATCACACGAAACAAATGGGTCTTTACCGACTTGACGCCGGCCTCCCAAAGACCTCCAAAGGGAGGACTGGAGGGTGGGTTGAAGTGCCAGCGCACCTCACACTGGTCGGCGGACTGCTGGCAATACTGTACCAACAACCGGTTAGCACCGACAAAATTTCTACCCTGATCACTATACATGTCAGTGCAACGCCCGCGGCGAGCGACAAAGCGCCGAAAAGCGGCTAAGAATGCGTCGGAGCTGAGTTCAGAAGCCAATTCCAAATGGATGGCTTTGGTAGCCATGCAAACGAATAGGCAAATGTAAGCCTTCTAAGTCTTAGCGCCGCGCCTTCGCGGAACACGGAAGCATCGGTAACACTGCGATAGGGTGTGACGAATTGCTCTGCGGGCGGACAAAATCCAGAATTGTTGTGAAATCTGGTACAACAACGATTGGGGACCCGGGTGGCAATTTTCCTTATGGAACTTTTCGATCACGAGTTCGGTAAAGCGATGGTCTGGAGGTAGTAGAAGAGGATGTTTTGCGTCGAAAGACAACGCAGAACCTCGGAGTCTGCCACCGACTCGAATGAGACCGTGCTCGTCGATAAAGGGCGCTAGGGAGCGTAAAGGTTTGGGGCACAGTTTACCGTTTCGAAGACACTTCAGCAAACCGGCGAACACCTCACGTTGGACGTATCCTGTCAGCAACGTGCGGGCGTGATACGTGTCCGCAAAAGACAAATTATCAAGCGCTCGCCAAGGAACGGGGGTACGACAATTATTTAGAAACCTACAACAATAAGCCAGGATCCTCTCAATTTTTCGTAACGACAAGAAACGGGTTAACAGTTCTCCGAGCGAGTCAACTAAAGGGGTGGACACACAAGTCAACACTGGTTTACGTTCCAGTTCCAGATCGTCTCCGGGGGTGAAGTCGGAGGTGGGCCACTCTTCCACCGGAAGACATAACCAAGGGGGACCACAGAACCAAGAGGGGTGAATTAATATTTGCTCGGGGAAAAGCCCTTGGGATGCGCCGTCAGCAGGGTTGAATAAACCGGCGACGTGATGCCAGGAACTGGGGGAAATGATGTCCTGAATGAGGGACACGCGATTGACCACAAAAGTTTTCCATCTGTGGGGGGAGGACTTTATCCAAGACAATGCAATTTTGGAGTCACTCCAGGCGAATACTCTCGTGATAGTCAACTCAGAGGCTATAGTGGATCGGACGAAATCTACGAGTTGGGCGAGCAGCAACGCTGAGTACAACTCCAGACGGGGGATCGACACTCGCTTCAAAGGCGCTACCCGATTCTTTGCACACAGAAGGGTGACAGAGATATGGTCCTCTCTGACGCTTTGCAGATACACGGCTGCACCGTATCCGCGCTCCGAAGCGTCACAAAATCCGTGCGTCTCCACCTGGACGCCATTGCTAGGCAGTACCCGACGAGGGATTGTCACCCCAGAAAGACTGTCCAGCTGAGACGAAAACGAACTCCAATCTTCGAATATGTCGCGGGGGGGGAGGTGCATCCCAATCGACGCCCTGGGACCAAAGCCTCTGTAGGAGAATTTTGGCAGTCAACACGACCGGGGATAAAAAACCTAGGGGATCGTATATTTGGGCTACTTGCGACAAAATATTCCTTTTTGTGCACCTCCTATCCGCTACTTGGATGCGGTAGGAGAACACATCCCGTAAGGGACACCACTGCAATCCCAACACCTTTAAACTGGGATTGTCGACTCCACATAGGGAAACGGGTTGATGATGTGAAGCGGGGAGTGAACTCAATAACTCGGGGGAGTTGCTCGCCCATTTGCGCAACTCGAAACCACCCAACTTTAGCAGCGATACTAATTGATCCCTCAACTCACGGGCTTCCTCCAACGAGTCTGTTCCTCCGATAATGTCGTCGATGTAGGTTTGGCAATCTAGGAGACGGGCTGCTAACGGGTAACGCGCTCCTTCGTCCCTAGCAAGCTGACGCAACACGCGAATAGCCAGGTATGGGCTACAACTTAGTCCAGAGACCACCGTTGACAAGACGTACTCTCGCACTGCTTCGCGGCGATCAAAACGCCACAGAATCTGCTGGAAGAGGTGGTCGGCGTCACTAGGATTTGACGATACATCTGACGAATATCGGTGGTGAAAACCACACAGTACAGTCGAAAGATGAGCAAAATGGCTCCAATGTCGGGTTGGAGCTTGGGACCCGTAAATAGAAGATCGTTCAGAGACCGTCCGTTGGAAGTTTTGGCTGAAGCATCAAACACAACACGCAATTTAAGGGGTTCGCTATGTGGCTTCCAGACGGCGTGATGAGGAATGTAGTAACCTTGGGGAGAGGGGGGCAGGTCTCTAACGAGTGCCATGTGACCTTGTTCCCAATAATCTCTCAAGAACTCGTTGTAGGCTAATCGCAAAGTTGGGTTCTTGGCCAAACGCGCCTCTAACAACTGGAATCGCCTAAGGGCTTGAGGGTAAGATTCACCAACTGAAGGGTGTTTATCCTTAAAGGGTAAGGATACGACGTATCTACCCGAAGGGGCACGGGAATGGGTAGAGAGAAAGATCTCACACAATTTGTCTTCAGGAGACATAAAGGTCTTTGAAGGGACGGACTCGAGTTCCCAGAATCTCTTCAAAGAAACATCAACAGCAGTAGTCACAGTGGTATAAAAACTAAAGGGAGAAGATGGTTCTAAAGAATTCACTTTTCCTAGGACAACCCATCCGAAGATGGTCCGAAAAGCGCATGGGCCACCGTTCTGTCCTTTTCTAAATCCAGGAAAACAAATATCTCCGTAAACCTCTGCCCCTAAAAGCACGTCTATTTCGTTGGGTTCACAGAAGTGGGGATCAGCCAAGGGTAGGGACCTGAGATGTTTTAGATTCTGCTTATCAATCACCTGGTAGGGTACCTTATCACAAATAGATGGAATAACTAAAGCCTCTATATGGAGAGCAGGGGATTTTCTTTGGGAGGGGGTCACGTTCAGGGCAACCTTCCCTAACGCAGACGTCGACATTTGGTTGAGGGCTTGAATTGGTGTCGGAGAGAGAGCCTTGGAAGCTCCAATTTCTTCGCAAAGGAATCTGTCACAAAACTGGCTTGATTAGCTAAATCCAACAGTGCACGACAAGTAACAAGTCTGCCAGATTTATCCGAAACGGATACCAAGCAAGTGGCAAAGAGAGAGGAGAGATTGGTCATCATGGTCACCGGACTAGGGATAGTACCTTCCTGGTTGCCGGGAACAGTGGGAGCTTCATTCGACGGGGAGGGGGTAGTAGCATTTCCAAAATGCACTAAAGTATGGTGGCGCTTGCCACATACACGACAATTAATCTTGGAGGGGCATCTTCCAACACCATGGGATCGCGCGAAGCAATTAAAGCACAAACGATGTTGCTTGATGAACACATGCCTTTGAGGGGGCTCAAGAGATAGGAAGGAATCACACTTTGTCAGAGGATGGTAGTCCATCGGGCAGTATAAACACTTACTCGTGCAACTCACATCAGCACTCGGAGGGATAGACGTCGCTATCATAGATGTGGGTCTACGTGTATCGGTTGAAACTCGCTTCGAAACCTCAAGCCTCTTGGTAGGGGTAATACCTTTTGAGGTAACTAAAGAGTTTTCTAAAGCTTTACAATTCTGTTCCAAAAAATCACACAAATCTTGAAAAGTTGGGATATCTTTATCACAAAATTTGAGTTCGAACCTCGTCTTGAGAGTTGAGTCGAGTTTCTCTAAGAGTAAATTGAATTTTGTAAAATCCCACAAGTCGATATCGAATTTATCGATAGCTGCAAGATTCTCTGAAAATGTTGAAAGCAATCTCCTCAGTTCAACAACCGAGTCACTCTTCATAGTCGGAGCCCGAAAGATCGACAGCCAATAATCGGTTAACAACAATCGATCGTTTTGATAACGCTTCACGAGGGCATTGTAAGCTATACTATAATTGGCACCCTTAATTGGCAAATTCTTCACGACACTGAGAGCATCCTTTTCCAAATAAGACACTAAAAATTGAAATTTTTCAATGTTTGAAAGGGAAAAATTATTATGGATCAACGTGTTAAACATATCAAAAAATGTAGGCCAATTTTTCAAATCGCCATCAAATTTCGGAATGATAATACGGGGGAGTCGGAGATTACTATTTCTTTGCGACTCTCGACCAACTACAGATGGTACCGGAGAGCCTGCCTTAGGTTCCACTTTCTCAAATAATCGCTTGGCAATAGATCGAATTGAATAATGCAACTGATCAAAGTGATCTTGAACCGCAAACTGTCAATCTCTTTCCGAATCATTCGCTAAGGAGACTACTTCCAATTGCAAGGACTCAAAAGTGCTAACTAAACTCGGCAAATCCTCCACCATGCACTGGAATTTGCATAAAATTTCATCATCATCGGGTTCAACGCGAGCTTTCTGACCCGCTAACAATATATCGTTAACGCGTCTAAGTGTTAAATCCCGCTTAGCAATAAATTTATCCATTTCCGACAAAATCGTTTTGTAAACAAATGCACACCTAAGTCTCGAAACAAAGTACCCACGTAAATTAAAAGGAAGAAGAATTTGAGCACGCAGAAAATATGCTTAGAACGAATCAAATAAAAAGGCCGCAATTCGAAACGACGGTAAACACTTTTGATGAAACCGCTTTTTTGCGCTCCAAACTTTACACGTTTTTGCTGACCTGTTCACGATAGCGAACATGTATTTAAATTACTAAAGTTTGTGAATGACTATAAAAATCCAAAACACTGATTCTGATTTGGGGAGATGGACCAATATGTAAAGGGTTGGGGAAAGGTGGTTGTAAATCACCCTCAAAATTTAAACGAGAAAGAGCGGCAAGAAAACGGTAGGACATACAACACCCGAAACGGTTAATCACCCACCTTGATGGTTTCCCGCGTCGTCGTCTGCCCGGCCGGGTCTTCTTAGGGGTATTTTCTGGAGGGTTGGGGGTGGTAAGGACCACAACACAGCGCTGGGTTCTCGCGAACCGGTCACAAAAGAGAGCTTGTTTTTTCGTGGTTCACACTACGCTCACGCAAGTCTGTCTTTTCGCGCGGCTTAACCAAGGTTGGGTATGGTGGGGGTGTTGTATACACAGCGCGAAAATAAAAAGTTAACCCAAGGGAAAAAAAATTATGAAGTTACCGAAAAATGTTATTCAACCCTTAACAGTCACCATATATAACACTACTTGATTTCTACTTGTGGGGTTACTAACGGACGAACTTTACAAGGAAAAATACCAACACGTTGACGTTTTAAAGACTTGCAATAAGAGAAAAAATAAACCAGATAGATGGTAGAACAATACTAAAAGGAATTCGCGCAATAGAAAAACGTGCTTAAAAATTGATTGAAGTATGAGGTGATAAGATATCTTTTATAGTTAATCATGAATTAATTAGGATTTTTACGTTTTTTTCTTATCTTCATGTTTTTTACGCTCAAATATAAAAATAAAGGGAAAATGAAATTTTATTTCACAACCACTCATAGCCTTAGGCTAATATGACCTTTTTTGTCCTGTTGTTGACTTACGAAAGAAAGAGTGAAAATATATAGGGTGTTCCATTTAAAAAGAGTACATTTTCTGTAAATAACCAATCTGTATGTTTTAATTGGCCATATATTTACTGATGTATGGAAACATTTGCATGTACTAAGAGCAAGAAAGTTTATGTTTATGAGTAACTTTTTCTATACAATGTATTATTGTCCATGGAAACATTACATATTACGTATATTTAAAAGGGCCCCTCCAGTCGACCACCGAGGACTTCTGGCAAATGGTGCTCGAACAGGAGTGCACCCTGATCGTGATGTTGACCACTCTCGTGGAACGAGGCAGGACCAAGTGTCACAAGTACTGGCCGGGGGTGGGCGAGGCGCTCGCCATGCAGAACGCCATAGTGAAATGCGTAAAAGAAGAGACCGATTCGTCCGCCAGTTTCATTTTCCGCGACTTTGTCCTTATCGACGTGAAGAACGAGAACGCGGCGAGGAAGATCCGCCATATGCAGTACGTCGCGTGGCCCGATCACGGAGTGCCCGACTCGCCCTGCCAGTTTTTGAAGTTTACTGATGACGTGCGCGGCAGCAGGAGTGGGGCGGCGCCCGTCGTCGTCCATTGCAGCGCCGGCATCGGCAGAACGGGCGTGCTGGTGCTCATGGAAACCGCAGTGTGTCTGATGGAGGCAGGCGAGCCCGTCTATCCGTTAGAGATCGTCAAGACGATGAGGGAGCAGCGGGCGATGATGATACAAAATGCTGTAAGCATGTCCGAAAGGGTTGGATAAATATGAGAGTTGCCTTTTTAGTTTTTACCAAATGTGAAACAGAAACGAACAACTAAAATACTTTTTACAAAACATCTGTATTCTTCCTGCGTCAGTTGTTGTTGAGTCGATCTTGCTGACATTTCGCCAATCATTCTGTTGGCTTCTTTAGAGCTTAACTGAAAATGGCTCGCATTCCAGTCTGTACCTGCTTATATATTGTTTGAGGTGATAGGTAAAGACTTGACTCGCGATTGCATATAGATTTCTATAGATTCTCGGATTTTTCGTTGGTAGAAGAATTGTTTACACCCAAGAATTTTGTTTTTATCAAATAAAACTTGATCCGGTTTCGTGATTGCCACTGGTAATGAGTTTATTTGTGTTAGTGTTAAGATTCTTTCATGTTCTCTCCAATATATTTTGCTGCATATGCATTTAATACTGTAAATTCCTGGTATTTCAAGACAATGTAACACTAAGACAAATAAACTCATCAACATTTGGCGAACACAATCACGAAACCGCACTTAAAATTGTCAAATGTCAAAATACCAGTATCACCCTAGCTAGAAGAAGAACTTATAAAACTGACAATTAACGAGAAAATAAAAATCAAATGCAAAATGGCTATCAAAAATTTTGGCCACAAAAGTCAATTTCGCAATTGTGCTCTGGATTGTGGTCGATCGTTCAACGATTTTTGATGACATCGTCATATTTCTGTGAACGTGAATTTAGCGCTCTGACAACGCTGCTTACTAAAAAGGGAAATCATTTGCTAGTTACCAAACGCTGCGACTTACAAGTGTTTGAAATTCAAAATGGCTACCAATAATTTTGGCCACAAAAGTCAATTCCGAAGTTGTGCTCTGGATTGTGGTCGATCGTTCAACGATTTTTGATGACATCGTCATGTTTCTGTGAACTCTGACAACGCTGCTTACTAAAAATTTGCAAGTTACCAAACGCTGCGACTTACGAGTGTTTCTGAACAAAATGGAACCTGATATCAACAAACTTGTTAAAAATCATCAAATTGATCCATTTCATTAGACTAGTTTTGAAAAACTAAAATTATATTATTTATTATATATATTATTGCTCTTTATTTTAAACGTTCTAAATGTTTATGCAAAGTCGACCTTTTTGACAGTCATCACCAATGGACGGACGTTCATGAAATTCTGTAAACCTGATCGTGCTTCATTACCAAAAGTTGCACAAAGCGATTCTATGCATTGTTGTTGAATGAGGTCTTTTTTAAAATCATAAAAAATCGTGCGAGGGAAGGCTTTGCACAAACTTGCTCCTTTTAAAGGTTCATCATGAACAACTGACTCACTTAATTTTTAAATGTCAATTGGCTTCCCAATAACAAACGTCAAAATTCACAAATACAGTGGTGCCACAACCAAATAGCACTACCTATTGTTCGATTGTAAAAACTTAAAACGCAACCCTCTTGCCAATTAGTAGTACCGTGTGTCCATATCTCCAAAAATCCCTAACGCATAAACTTGGAAGACGTTAAAAAGGCTTTTCCTGGGTTGAGTGAGGCGATTGCGATTACTTTGCCACCAGATTGAATTTTCTGTGCATATAAGAAATGCGACGCGTTAGGAACAAAGAAAAATACTGATTATCTTATTTTACTACTTAACTAATTCACTATTAATTAAAAAAATAGTGATACTAATAAATTTATTGTAAATGGGCAAGTATATCAAAACGTAGGAACATCAGCTACTGAGTAATTTTGTGTGTGTAATCTAAAAAAAAAAATTGTATTTTGTTTACCATTCATTTTCATCCGAAATAATGAATTATCGTTTTATTTAGTAAATTCTGGATAATTAGACATTAACAACCACCCTTGCAGCGGGCGATGATGATACAAAATGCTGTAAGCATGTCCGAAAGGGTTGGATAAATATGAGAGTTGCCTTTTTAGTTTTTACCAAATGTGAAACAGAAACGAACAACTAAAATACTTTTTACAAAACATCTGTATTCTTCCTGCGTCAGTTGTTGTTGAGTCGATCTTGCTGACATTTCGCCAATCATTCTGTTGGCTTCTTTAGAGCTTAACTGAAAATGGCTCGCATTCCAGTCTGTACCTGCTTATATATTGTTTGAGGTGATAGGTAAAGACTTGACTCGCGATTGCATATAGATTTCTATAGATTCTCGGATTTTTCGTTGGTAGAAGAATTGTTTACACCCAAGAATTTTGTTTTTATCAAATAAAACTTGATCCGGTTTCGTGATTGCCACTGGTAATGAGTTTATTTGTGTTAGTGTTAAGATTCTTTCATGTTCTCTCCAATATATTTTGCTGCATATGCATTTAATACTGTAAATTCCTGGTATTTCAAGACAATGTAACACTAAGACAAATAAACTCATCAACATTTGGCGAACACAATCACGAAACCGCACTTAAAATTGTCAAATGTCAAAATACCAGTATCACCCTAGCTAGAAGAAGAACTTATAAAACTGACAATTAACGAGAAAATAAAAATCAAATGCAAAATGGCTATCAAAAATTTTGGCCACAAAAGTCAATTTCGCAATTGTGCTCTGGATTGTGGTCGATCGTTCAACGATTTTTGATGACATCGTCATATTTCTGTGAACGTGAATTTAGCGCTCTGACAACGCTGCTTACTAAAAAGGGAAATCATTTGCTAGTTACCAAACGCTGCGACTTACAAGTGTTTGAAATTCAAAATGGCTACCAATAATTTTGGCCACAAAAGTCAATTCCGAAGTTGTGCTCTGGATTGTGGTCGATCGTTCAACGATTTTTGATGACATCGTCATGTTTCTGTGAACTCTGACAACGCTGCTTACTAAAAATTTGCAAGTTACCAAACGCTGCGACTTACGAGTGTTTCTGAACAAAATGGAACCTGATATCAACAAACTTGTTAAAAATCATCAAATTGATCCATTTCATTAGACTAGTTTTGAAAAACTAAAATTATATTATTTATTATATATATTATTGCTCTCACTAGTAAAAATTTCTAGTTTAGAATATAAGTTTAAACACCAGAACCCACTAATATAGCACACTATAACTAAATTAATTCAAGTAATGAAATTGTAGTTTTTACATTTTAGGAGTGTATAAAAAAAGAGTTTAGTGGTGGCGAAGAAATAATTGATATTTAAAGAGCGACGTGTCTAAGTTTCATCTCCTGTAACAATATTTTATAGTTATTTTAAACGTTCTAAATGTTTATGCAAAGTCGACCTTTTTGACAGTCATCACCAATGGACGGACGTTCATGAAATTCTGTAAACCTGATCGTGCTTCATTACCAAAAGTTGCACAAAGCGATTCTATGCATTGTTGTTGAATGAGGTCTTTTTTAAAATCATAAAAAATCGTGCGAGGGAAGGCTTTGCACAAACTTGCTCCTTTTAAAGGTTCATCATGAACAACTGACTCACTTAATTTTTAAATGTCAATTGGCTTCCCAATAACAAACGTCAAAATTCACAAATACAGTGGTGCCACAACCAAATAGCACTACCTATTGTTCGATTGTAAAAACTTAAAACGCAACCCTCTTGCCAATTAGTAGTACCGTGTGTCCATATCTCCAAAAATCCCTAACGCATAAACTTGGAAGACGTTAAAAAGGCTTTTCCTGGGTTGAGTGAGGCGATTGCGATTACTTTGCCACCAGATTGAATTTTCTGTGCATATAAGAAATGCGACGCGTTAGGAACAAAGAAAAATACTGATTATCTTATTTTACTACTTAACTAATTCACTATTAATTAAAAAAATAGTGATACTAATAAATTTATTGTAAATGGGCAAGTATATCAAAACGTAGGAACATCAGCTACTGAGTAATTTTGTGTGTGTAATCTAAAAAAAAAAATTGTATTTTGTTTACCATTCATTTTCATCCGAAATAATGAATTATCGTTTTATTTAGTAAATTCTGGATAATTAGACATTAACAACCACCCTTGCAGTGAAATTTCACTTATATTTTAGGTTAAGATAAAGATATTGAGATGCGATTGTCTGCGATTGTTGGACCCTTATGTCACTACTTAAGGATTTAAAACATGTCGTATGGGTTGCATTCCTTCTTTTTCCGCTAATTTTTTTTGCAAATTTGTCAAAAAATAATCCACCTGGTGGCAAGATAAGGTGCTTTACACATTGCAAAATGGTAGACTATGAAAAGCACTTTTTAACACTCCAAGTTTATTAAAATGCATCAAGCCTTTTTGAAGATATGAATGTTTCTTTAAGAAAATTTTCGAACATGAAAGATTTGAATTTGTCTCAGCTTTATAACAGTAATCGCTTTAACTATGGTTATTTTTTAACAAAATCTTGTAGGAACAGAGTTTTAAAATTGAAGATATAAAATATGCCTTGTGCTGCGACTCGAAAATAATTTTCAGCACTTATTATTGGCCGATTTACTTAATAAGAATCTCGTTGTTGTTAGTGGGATACCCAGTATATGAAAAAAAAAAGCTATGAACTCTATAAAATAATAAACAAATAAATAATAAAGAAGAATATGACATAAACAGAAACACAATTTTTCTTTTATTTTCAAAATGACACCATAGATTCTTAAATTTTCTTATGGGCGGCATACTGAATATTTTCGTTATTAGATAGAGCATAATAAAAGCTTTTAAATGATCTATCACATGATGCATTTATCATCATTCTTAGGGTTGGAAAAGCAAAGATATATAATTATTTTTATAATAGACGTTCTTTGCCAAATTTTCAAAAACATAATTTTTATCTCAAGGGATCTGTGATATCTATTATATTGTTTCAATCTTCATCGTGTTGGCCTTTGCCCGCAATTATGGAAGTCCGGTAGGTATTAAAGTACAGAACATTAGGGACGGACTCTCAAAGGTTTTGGTAATAATATATATATTTTTTGTTTATTTATGTGGGTATAATCTTATTAAATTAGGAAATTAAAGTAACATTACATATATACAATAAATTCATCCCTATGAATGCACTATGGGGTCAAACATACAATGATATAGAGGAAGACGTAAAACAGTATACCTAGCCTATTCAGCCAAATAATCGCATACATACTGTTTTTTAATTGCATATGAATTTAGGACTTCCAAAAGTTAACCTAAAATAACTGATAAAACATAACTGATTAAAGTTTCATATGCATTTTTCACATTCTGTTGTGCATCAAGCGACAGATGATTTATCCTTGTAAAATAACTTTTTCGAAACGCCCAGTTAAAACGATTATTCAACACTGGCACAAATGGTCAACACTTAAGAAATATTTATATACCTCGACCAGCCCTGAACTATTTATATACCTGGACCACCCTTAAAATATTGATATACCTGGTCCACCCCTGTCTTGTTACCCAAGACTGTGCATAGGAAGTTTCAGGATTTTTCATATAATCCAAAAAGTAATATAAAAGACATTCCATTAATGAAAATAAACTTTGATTACAATGTTTCAATATTAGGATTTTACTCTAAAAGGAGCCAAGGATTGTTTCTGGTCAATACTGACGTTTCGAACTTCCATTGTCTAAAAAAGTAAAAACCTGCATTTATACGGTGTCAGGTGGCGAAGGAGTCACGTCATCGGTTGTGGACCATTTCTCGATGTCTTGATCACGAGGTCCCATCTACACATACAGGCCAATACTTAAACGCATCATACACCCACTTAGCAACAACCAACCAGTAACCATTCGATATGTTAGAGAAGGTTCCGAAAATATCAGAGGATTGCAACAAAATACAACTTCAAAATCGCCGTTCGTTGTGGGCAAACTATAAGAAGTTTAATAACGAAAACAAAACCGGAGATCATCACAGGCAATAAAAATTGTATATATGAAGTGTCCTGCGAGTGTGAAAAATCTTACATAGCCGAACATAAGAAACAAACCCAACGTGGAGAAACTAATAGATCCGGTCTCGCCAAGCACACTTGGACAGAACACCGCAGAATCGAATGGAGAGATGCCAGAATTGTAACAATTGGAACAATTAGGCCAAAACAAAAAATTGTACCGGGCAGCTCAATGTTCAGGTTGGCCAATTTATTTCCAATAGGTTTAGCTTAACAAAGCTTAAAAAAGCTGTAACCTGGAAATGACCTGGTTTATATAAAAACAATTATGTAACAACTCCTTTGTTGATTTAAATAAAAACTATTTATTAAATATATCAGGCAGCACAAATTAAAGTTGTTAAAAGTGAAAAATGAACCAAATGTTGAAGAAATATATATACTTATATACTATAAGAATATCAGACCAGTCATACATAAACTTAAAGTTTAAAATTAACTAATATATAAGTTTTGCCTTACATAGAAATGGAAATAATTTATGTAAGTATGAGTCAAACCTCAGTTTCTTTTCTATGTATGGATCTGACCTTAATGGAGGTAGCTGGATAGTGCATGCAGCACACCGGGACAGTTAGTGTAGCCTAAATGTAAGAGAAGGAATATGGGTTGCTTGCACAAGCTCGACCCTACTGTGAAACGCACAGGTATTAGCGGAACTTTGAATCGGTAAGCTATATGGCTCGTCGATAAAAATGTACAGTTATCCGGGAAGTGTTGGCACATCCATAAAACCCTAGATAACAGAAAACATTGAAGAATGGTTGTTTTATATTACCTATTTACAGCTTGTAGCACGAGAGATTCCGAAAAATTCGAATCTATCAGAAATAATTACAAAGGATTTCTATGCGGGAGCTTTACTGAAAAGAACAAATCGAACATAGCAAGGATGCTGAAGATATAAATGAATTAAAACTTTCCAGATTGAATAAGGCACATGGAATGGTTATAACAGGCATGCGTGACTTTCGTGAAAGTCAAGCGCAAAACAAAAAATCCAAACTTCAAATAGAATGGCAGATATTAACCTAACTCAATATGAAGATTTATATCGTAACGCTTGTTTTTGTAATAGATGTTTTGCGGGGTAAACTCGGTAAAGCTGTTGGTGAATTTTAATGTCATATTAAAATTACGTTTTAGTGATGTTTTGAAATGCGTAATATACTTTTTGTAGGCTACAAATCCTGATACATAATTATCTTATTTTGAAAATTAAAATGACAGTAGCATAAAATGCTGCAAAATTCTATAAAAGGAGACTTACTGGGAGAAGTGGAAGTTCATAGAAGCTGGCTTCGTCCAACGCAACAACATCTTAAGTGATCAAAGCGTAGAAATGCCATCGCAGTGGCAACTTCTACCGTCACGCATAAGGAACCTTGACCTATCCCACCCCTCAACCGATGACGTGGCTTCCGCACTACCTAACACAGTATAAATGCGGGTAGCTTGGATCATAGCGCTACGATTTCAATTGTTAACGGCTAGAGTTACTTTCTAGACGAAACGTCGTGCTAAAAATGTTTTTAGAAGATGGAAGTTCGAAACGCCTGTATTTGAATTAGGATTTTAATTCCAAACGCATCGTTTTATAACTAAAATATGTCAAAATTTTCTGTTTCTCAACGTATCTAAAAAAAACCAGCGTGATTTGAACACGGCCTGTTTTGTTGTTACAGAGTCAGTACAGGTTTGTGTGCGAAAGCGTTCACGCGGCCTACACGGAGAGGGTGGCAGTTTCGCAAAAGGATGACGACGGTTCGACGAGGATACATGAAAGCGACGGTTGATGATTCGTATAGTATTAAGGGATCCGTCGAGAGTAATAAGCCAACCGAATTAGAATCTAATCGAAGTGATTTTCATAGAAACCGCCAGCTGGTGTCAGACTTCGATAGCAGGTTTGAGGTCAACATTAGGAATGAATTAGTATCCAATGTTCCAACGTTCAATGTACAAATTGTCTTCCTCTTTGGGAAATAAGATAGTTCAATTTATAGGTTTATAGATAGTTTCAATATGGGCAACATTTCCACATTTACGGTTTTTTCCCTAAGCTACAGAACTTTATTTTAAATAAAAAGGGTATGTTTTTTAAATAACTTAAATAACAATAATTGTAGCCCTTCTGCTACTTGATACTGTCCTAAGCAATCTTCAAATTTCCCTGTTTTGGAGAGCATTTGATGTTATAGTTCGAATTTCGGCACTTATCCGCTCTTCTAAATCAGTCAAGGTGTTGGGTTTGGTTTTGTACACTTTAGTTTTTGAGGTGACCCCAAGGGAAAAAAATCTGGGAGATATAAATCTAGTGATATATCAACTAAAAATATTCAATATTTTTTGCACAATTAATTTGTGAATAACTTTTCAACAGCTACTTCGTATTTTGTGAAAAAGTCAATCAAACTCCAATGTTCTTTTGGGTGATCATTGTTCAAAACGATAATAATAAACCCTCAAAATTTTAAAATTTATCAAAATATCTAAGAAATTATTGGGATTAAGTAAACCTTAGCGAATCTATCATAAATTTTCTCTCCGGGATAGAACAGTAGAGTAGCTAATTCTAAGCTAAACTGTGCCAGTGGGCGGTCCAACTAATTGGTCTCTGTATTGTATGTTTGTTATGCTATTTTCTGAAATAAAAGTCGTTTATTATTATAATGACCTTGTTTACGGCTGCTCTGAATAATTCATTGGTTGTTTTCGTTAGTGAATGAACATGGTTTTTATGTTCTCAAGTTCTTCAGTCATAATATCCTACGCCTCCCGGATCCTCTCTTGCCATAGACCTTTACCTGGAGAGGTATTTGTTGTCGTTCCGCATTATATGACAAAGATTTTCAAGTTTTCTTTTTATAGTGCTTATCACTTCCCTCCCTTTGCTCATTCTTTTCAGTACTGATATGTTAAACACCTTGTCCTTCCACAAGATCCTCTGAATTCTCATTTCAAATGCTTCTAAGTTTTCTTTGGGTTGTGGCTTTTAAAGAGTTTTGACATTTTGATAAAAATTTGTCTTGTCTTTTCTATTACTCATTTAATTTCTTAAAAGTGCTCCCATTGCTCATTAATTATTGAATCATATCAACACTCTTTCTAGTGGACTGTGTCTGATAAGCAGTTGACAGTTCTAGTGGACTGTCTCTGATAAGCAGTTGACAGTTCTAGTGGACTGTCTCTGATAAGCAATTGACAATTTCGGATGTCCTGTTTATTATCATGAACTTCTGTTTATTTTTTGACCATACTGTTCGCTGGCATCATTTAGCATGTTCATCAACCCTTGTAGGCCAATCAGATAGTATCGTCTGCATATCGAATACTAATACAGTAATAAGTTGAAGATAAAAGGCGAGAGAATACAGCCTGGTCCAAAGCCACGTTGTATAGAAACGGCATATTCCTGTACGAGTATAACTTCCTTATGATTTTAATATCCTTATCGTTCAATCCAGCGTTCCTGCAATTAAGAATGTAAGAATGTAATAGCAGCCGCAATTTCATCAGTTAGGGACCACATTTTTATTTGAGAGATTGGTGAGTCTTCTCTTCTATCGTGAAATAAATTCTCTATATATTTCTCCCCTGTTTTTTCATGTATTTTCGGTCAACAATCATTTTTCCGTGTTCATTGGTTAGCTTACATGCGGTTTTTTCTCATATATTCCTGTTACTTCACGTTCGCTTCTTTAATCTTTCTTTGTACCATTCTTCGTACTCTGTGGCAACATTCAGAAAGTACAACACGAAATAATATACCGGGTGTTCAATTTAAATTAAACAGGTAAGGTGTTGTATATGTGTATGTTTTTGATAAAATAAGCTGTTATGGAGGTGTCAAAGGATCCCGCAATAATTCAACGTTAGATAATTAAAAAAAGCAGTCATTTTGGACGGTTTTTGCTTTATTAACCGCAAGTGAATGCAAGTGAGAAATAACTTTTTTCACATCTTCATTGTCAATTAACGAATAGTTTTAGTAAGTTTTAACTTTCAAGTCGTAACATTGGATACGAACTCGTTTTCGTCGTTTTTCTCAAACCTCCCGTCGAAGTCTGATACCCTAAGTGCCCCAAATACTAATTCGTTTGGATTACAAACCGTTTTGAATCCGTCCATTGTAATTTTCCGCCATTCGAACGACGACGGCCTATTTTTTTTAAATCAAATTTCATCGAACAGATGCGATTTAGAAATTTAAATTTCGATCAAAAAGCCGGGAAATATGTGGAAATTTATCTCTTGAAAAATAATTTTACCGTCCGATAGAATAGTCATTGGGTCTCGGCAATAATACCGCGATATTTTTATGATCCTCAAGAAACAATCTTACAGGAAACACTGCCATTTTGTAAATCGTAAATAGTATGTAAAGGGCTCTAGATATGTACAGGATGTTTTAGTATAAGATCCTTAAATGTCAATATAGGGACTCTTTATTTTAAAACTGCTTTAGATATTTTGTTGATTGTTTGATAGAGGCCAACAATGCATGGAAATAATCTTTTGGTTTGAAAATTATTTTTATACTTTCACCAGTGGCGCGAATGATAGGGACTTTCAGCCAAAAAGCGGAGTGATTAAAATTATATTATTTAAAAGCGAAAAAATTGTGTTTTTGTGAATTAAAAATGAAGACTTTTGTTTTTGCTTGGTTTTGTTGATCACTTCTGTCAAAGTTCACATTGATAAATTCGTTTAAATTGAAATGACTTCACTTATCTAATTGCAATTGAAAAAACGAAAATCTTCTAAAAATTTAAATTGATTTGTGACGTAACAATAAATAATAGTAAATCGGACCTGCAGAGTAAGTAGGTCCATGACTTGTGTGCAGATTTCCATTATAGTTTTTTGATCTTTCATGTTTTTTCCACCGACTGAATGAGTAAGAAGCATTTTGGATTCTATCCCTGTCTATAATAACTTTTGTTCTTTTACAACGATAATATTTTATCGTGTTTTTTCCGCCGTAAATATTACGTATTGAATAATACTTACACACTATAGTAATAGTGCGAGTTTCCCAGTGACTGGAAGCTAAGAACAGTGGCCCTGGTGAACTTTCTCATTTTAGGACTATAAGTCTATTGCCGATTTTTTCCAAGATCCTCGAAAAAATTATGACCAAAGAGTAGAGCGATTATTCTTTGCGGACTGCTATAATTCCAATGCAGTCCGGTTTTAGAGTTCAGCTAGGCACAACATCTGATTATATTACACTCTTGATCATAATATTTTGTGTACTAAATTAAATTCTTTGCGTGAGATTCTTCCGCAGCGCCTTCTTACGAAATTTCTTGCATGGTCGAAGGAGGAGTACCTTTGACTTCTGTCGCTATCATAACTATCTCAGCTTGGATTAATTTACTTCCAACTATACCTCTGCCACGGGTCTTGACATTGCAGAACATCAAATAAATCATGGTCTAAATATTGTAACAAACTTCAACTTAACAACTCAATCTCAGCTCATAGATTTTGGCAATAGCAACCATTTTGCTCACGTGTCTTATCTTGTCCAACATAGTTATTGTCAACTTGACCTTGCATCTGTTTAAATATTGTCTAGCAAAATTGAAATGACACCATTATTATTCCTAACTTCGTATACTGCAGTATGTTATATTGGCACGCTCTTCTTCGTCAAGACAGAGAAAGCCTCCAAAAATTACAAAACAGCTATATATAAGGTTTCGTTATGGATTGAGACGGTTTAAAAATATCTCTGCTTCATATTCAAATTCCAATTGGCGTAGACTGGAAATTCGATTTCAGCTGCATATATGTACACTTGTTTTTAAAATTACCCTTTCACAACAGCTTTTGTATTTTTTTGATAAGCTAGTCAGAGGCTGTGGAGTTCATTTGGTATCTGACATGGCACATAACGGCCATGTTTCAGAAATCGTTTAGTTACATTGCAGTTAAATATTTCAAATCTATTTCCCATTGCATTATGGCTTGCTTTAAAAAAAAAAACTTTAAGGATGCTGTATGCTTTTCTGAATATCTAATTGAATGATTTTGAATGTGGTTTCTGTAATACTTCTCTGTTGATCTGCATTTTTTTCATGTCACTAGCAAAATCTTTTTTCAATGGCAATGTTATCGATATATATTTTTTGTTTTGAAAAATTTGTTTGTTGTCTTGTTTTTGTGTTTGTGTTACTATCTTGTTAGTAACTATACTGAGTGGATAGTTATGATTAGTTGGAAGCTAGACCTCACCTCTTAAATTACACCTTTTTTTATGTATTGGCTGCAATAGGAAAAATAAAGGCATTATTATTAATATTATTGTTATTATTAATACTTTTCTCTCCCAGACTGCCAGTCAATCTTGTTCTGCTTTGTGTAGTATCCATACTTTACTCCCATTCGTAACTGTGGGCTTCTTCTGACTGTTTTGTATAGTCTCACTAGATTTCCTGGCTCTAGGTTTCTTGCCCTCAGTCAGCCTGGTATTTCTCCGGTCATGTCTGCCTTCTACTAAATACCGTTCCCAGATAAGTATATTTTTCTACTTTCTATTACTGGTTTCTTTTAATTTCCGGTCCAGCTCATTTACTTAATCTTCTCTTATTTGATGCTTAAGGCAAATAATGCTGCTTCTTGTTATACTTTCTCTAATTTCTCAAAAGCTAGTCATTGCTATCTTTTCTGATATATGTTTATGGATTTTTGTCTGATGACCTTTTCTCAGCATAGACAACAATACTGAGGATAGTGGGTCACTCTGCCTTACTGTTTGAATCCAAATTTACCTGAGATTCTGTTTTTAAGCCTTACTCTATTTTATGTTCTTAGTGTGACTCGTATCATTTTTGTTAGTGTGTTAAGTGGTTTTATGGTTATTGACTGTTTTAAATTTACCATTAAGTTTCCTGTGTAGAAAATACATCAGAAAAATTTTGTTTTTTATTCCTTTAATTCTCTTTAATTTCATCCGTCTCTTTCTTTCTTCTCCCTGCAGCCAATTTTTTTGTAGAAAATACATTCCATGTTCTTAACACTCAAATCAGTGTTTAGTTTAATGTTGACCACTTTGCTTGCTTTGCTTCTGTCCGATCAACTTTCGAAACTTTTAGATGATTTCCCGTGTTTAGGAATATAAAAAAATAAAAATATATAGCCAGATACATTTTTTACAAAACCCCGCTTTGACGCTGCAGACTTTTTCCATTTCTGTCAAAGTTGACGTGGAAAATTTTTTGATAGTTTGTTTTTATCCCTTTAAATCAGATATTGGTAGAAGGCAGAGATTAGTAAAACTGAAAAACCACAACACACACAACGCATCGTTTATAGTATTTTATGCAACTAGTGTAGTAAACGGCATTTGAGTCATAAGTTGATTTGGCACGAGCGGGGCGAGTGTTTAATAAACGACAAAACGTGTTGTATACTATACTTTTGCTACGACCGTTAGTTTTCGGGTACATTTTTGCAAAACAACACAAATACATTCACTGACATGACCGTCACAAGTGAGAAACGTCATAATTCAACCTTGAGAAATATCTCCGAAAACATCCAATTGCTTCTAAACCCTTGCGGTAATCTCCTGGAAATGTTCGAAGTGGCTCGGATCGATGGTAAACGAAAGTCACGTGGTAAAATTACACTTTCCGAGAAAACCTTTTTAAAAGCACCGAGACTGCCAGTAAAAGATTCCCTTCCAAATAAGGGATGGTTGGAATGTTGAAAAGGAATCCACAACAAAGAAAAATGCCGAGGCCTTCCAACAGTATTAAATTTAGCATTGGTTGATAATCTTAAATGTCAAAGAAAACGTTTCTGAACTATAATTAATTCTGCAGTCATCTATATTATAAGTATTTATATGTTTTTACCAAGGTTCGCAAAATTTTCTTTTGAACTCTATGAATTGCATCAACGTGGTACTGATAGATATGGTATCAGATCACTGAAGCATATCCTATTCCAGAATACACAATGGAATTATATAAAATTACAATGCAAAAAATAACACTACAATTCAAAAAGAAAAATGTACAATTTCAACCCTACCATCTACATCAACTAGCAACTTTATCAAAGATTATCGAAGGCCTCGTAACATCTTAAGTAATAAAACATACAAACATCAAAGAGAACAAAACAAACAAACATTGAATAGACAAATGACCACAGTCAATTTTGTTTTTGCGGACAACTGTATATATGAAAGAACTTAATTTTCAATGCTACAAAAAGTAGCGCCATTTTGATAATATTTTTTCTGCTTTCAATTTTATACATATGCAATATGCATGCTCATACCTTTATTATACTTAAAGCATATTTTATGCATAGGCGACATTAACATGGTAGCTAAAAGTAAGTGACAAGAGTTAGTACTGCGTGCATGTCCCCGAGTCTTTGAAAACTTTCGACGTTAAGTCTTTGCAACAGTAATTCAGTAATTATGTCAACTCCACGATAAAAATTATCTCCTTTAAGAAATAAATATTTGAAAAACTTTGTTTGCACTTGTTACACCAGACCCTAGTAAACGACAAACTAAATCTGTTAAGTCTAATGCGTCACTATTAATAAATGACTTATAATTCTTAAAATAAAACCCAACACTCGAGTGGCTTCTGAAACCATCTTTTCAATGTGATAACTAAAACAGAACTTACAATCTATCAAATCATCGTTCTCAATAGAGTACTAATGTAGTGTTGGAGAGAGTTTTTTAATTAGTTGTGAGCACTTTCCAGGATTAAACTTAAAGCAATTCTCAGATCTCCTAACAGACGACTTTAAATGACCAGCACAAATTTCATGTTCTGAAACATTTTCTGATATATCGTTAATAAAAATTAATAATAAAAGCAGTCGCAAATTTGAGTCCTAGCTTTTTACAGGATAATATTGTCAGTCAGTCAGTAATACCACGTGAGCCTGATCAGCGTCGATAGCATTTGATGTATATTGTGTAAAGTATTTTAAAAATTTAGCGAATAATTTTACTAAAAGCCGTATCACATCTCTCATGGCTCATCTCGGATGTCATCCAGGCCACTAGATATTTTTGGTATTAATTTTTTTTACAGCTCTTGTAACAACACGCTCTGTAAAGACTACCCGGAATACTGATCAGATTCGTATAAATTCTTATTATTCATTAAATCACTCTACAATATCACCATGTGTTGCCACAAACCTGCCTTAAAGTTAAATACAAACTAGCATTAAAGAACGTGCGTTGTTGGCCTCTATCAATCAACAACATGTCTTTACATCTTTAAATCTTGGATCTAACTTTCTTTCTTAATGTCCTTCAACGAACCAAACCGTTTAAGATCAGGATATTATTACGAGACACCCTGTATATCAATAGCTAGATATCTACGCGACATCTTGATATCTATTATTTACAGTCCCACATAGGCGACGGGACTGGGTCAGATGTATTTTATAACTTTTTTGTACTACTATAAACTTGTATAGTAATCCGTAAATAAATTATTCGTTTAAAAATTTAAACAAAATATTGGCTAGTTCCTTTAAAAGGCAATAGAAAAGGTCCAATTTACTTTAAAGTTTCGCTATATATATGAAAACGGCCGTCAAACACAAAAAAAACAAAATTTTAAGCGATGGTTTAACTGTGCCATTTCCTCACAGGAATGACATAACAACTAACATTGTTTAATGATGGTAACAGTTAAGTTTGCCTATTTTACAGGTCCGTAATGAATAAAGTAAGATTTTCAAATTGTTGCCCCACAATTGTACAGTACATCGTCCACCGTTGATGAATGTATTTTGTCCTCAAATTTTATGTATCCCTAGCTAAAATAAAAACGCTAACGGAGTTTGATGATTTGGGTTCTATTAGTACTCCTCCTGAAAGTGCTCTTGCAAATGTAGTAGATGTTTTTAAGGCTTATGATAACAATACGTCTTGTGCTTGATTTTATCAAAGCTTAAGTGTAAAACATAGAATTTCGTGCACAGAATGAAATGAAGGATACATTGACATTTGTGGTTTATTGCGTCTATCTTTTTTTTAATTGGGTCCATATCATTTTTATAGGATTCAAATCGCAGTAATAGGGTGGCAATCTAAGGGTATATTACCGGATTTTTGTATTATTTCGTCTACGAAATAAATATTACATACGATTTGGTTCTTAAAACTTTAATTGGTTGTTATGTGTATAAGTATCATCATAATAAAGGTCACTAACTGACTAAGGAACTTGTGGTTCGATTAAGAAATTTGCCACCCTCTATAGTATCAATAATTCCACAAATCTCTCTTTAATGCCACTATGCTTGTTAATATTTTTAAATCCAAGTTCAACTTTGTGCAGAAATTGGCGCAGTGTCTCACGATTGCCAGTAAATAGCCCATTTTCTTTTAATATCTGTTGCAATGATTCAAGTGATGGAATCTGATTACATTCGTAAATGTTTGCTGCAAATCATATTATGGTTTTAAAACCGGAATTATCAAGTAAAGAAGTAGTAAAATAATTTCAAATTGTTATAATTTGAAATTCTAATTTTCATCAGCTGACAAATGATTTTAAACACCTCTCGGTAGAAACATATGTGAAGTTGCTTTGGAAAATGGAAAGCTTACAAACTAAAAACTAAAGGTTCAGCCCACAGTCTCCAAATTGAATCAAAATATCCTTTTGCAAAGGGAATACTCTTGCAGAAGTATGGTTACTCCTGAAGGCGTACTTTTACGCGTGTGGATGATATTTCTGCATTTGTTGGGTAACACGCTTTCTTCGCTTCATTTTGACTTTTGATGCTTTAAAAAACTATGAAAATTTTACACTTGAATTTTATATTTTACGCTTCCTAAAATGTTATTTGGTAAAAAGCTCAATATTATTTCTCTTTTTTGCAATTAAAATGCAGAACATTTTTTATCGTATGTTTTTGAAGAAATATGTCTTCAAGTTTTCTTAAAATGCAATATTCTTTATAACTTTTATAAAACTTACTAATGACTAAGCTATTAGTGCGCGAATGTCAATTATACAATCACAACCTCGTTTTCCAGTTATTTACTTATGGTGAAATATGTATTTAAAAATTCGGCGCACGTAAGACCAACCGAGTGCTGTTTTGGCCCGCAAAAATGGAAAAAAAGTTGAGCCGAAATCAGAATTCAGTGCCGGAAATTATCACGCTTTTCAGTACACTACTGCAAAAGCTGCTACTATATTTAATTATTTGCCAATTTTTCTTAGTTAAGAAAGCAGTTATTAAACGTCAAACGTCAAAAACATAACGCCTTATTTCTAAAAGAAAAAGTTTTCTTAATAAAACCGTTATAAAAGCTCAGGTTTCTTATAAACCCCTTATAAATTAATATCCTTCCATTATAACAACTTAAGCTGCAAAAAATGTTGGTTGATATTAATTATTTGTTTCTTTCAAGTATTGACTGTGGTAGATCTGGTGACTACTACATTAATGAGACGCAAGTTTCAAAATTTGCATTAAATACTTTAGTGAAACAAAATAAACTTATCGCAAGACATTGTAATATTTTGAAACAACTTTGTATTTACGTTATTGTTAGCTTGTAGGTAGCAATAAATCGAAACAGAGTGTCTTTCATGTCATTTTTGTAACTTATATGTTCCTTGCAGTGCTAAAATTATAACATTTTGGTATGTTGTAGAACCTGTTATTTTTTTTAAATCTCCGATTTAATTTAAGTCTCTAAGTTTATTTTCTGGGATACTGGGCTACAGATAGCCTTTTACTTTGTTTACGAGGTGCAGTCAAAAAGTATAATTTTTTCAAATGAACTTCTACAAGCTATTGTTATGTTATACACAAATCTTCTGGACTCTTGCGTCATTTGTTGATAAATCTAACTTGCCGATTTTCGTCGATCATCCTGTTGGCCCCTTCAGAGTTTAACTGAAACTGGCAAGCATTCTACTCTGTACCTGCTTATATGATATTTGAGGCAGGCGGAGCTAAAAGAAGGGGCTGGGGGTGGGTAGGAGCTACAGTTTCTAAATGTTTTAATCTACAACTTCACACATACCGTCCTCAAACATTTTTTGTCAAAGTGAACAAGATTGTCAAGATTGTCTGTGCTAAGGGAATCTTACTATCAAGATTATCTGTGCTAAAGAAATCTTGCTGCTCGGCTGTACGACAATTTTATTTTCACTAAGGGGTTGAAAAAAAAAATTGCTTGTTTTTTTATTAATTTCTCAAAAACAAATAACTTAATTTTTATTAAACTAAACTGGTACAATTTCTCGAAATGTGCCTAATATTTGTGTCAGCTTAAATAATTTTCTATAGTACACTATGGTCTCTATTGTATAGTAGGTAACAATGATAAGTATATTCACACATCAAAAGTTGGTTTATTCGGTGACAAGTATTTTTTATCACACCATAAACATCTGACAGTAGGCAGTCGTCCATGTCTATCTTGATATGTTGCATTGCATTTGTTGAGTTAAATTGAACTAAATCTAAATCTATTGATATTACGTCTGACATACCTCATGGATTCCATTTAGGACTCATTCTGTTTTCTTTGTTCATAGCAGACGGGGGTAAATGTTTTTGTTTTGCAAAATTTATTTCATATACCGATGACCAAAAGTTGTATGCGCCTGTCATGAGCATCGACGACTGTCGGAAATTTCAGGAGGACCTTGATTTTACGACTACTGCTTAGGAATCCGACTGTTTTTAAATATTGAAATAGCAGTATCTTAAGTTCAGTAAATTAAAAAAATGATATAGCTTTTGATTATAAATTCAGTGGAGCAAACATTAAAGAAGTAAAGCATATGAGGGATCTTGAAGTATCTATATTGTGAAATAGCAGTATCTTAAGTTCAGTAAATTAAAAAAATGATATAGCTTTTGATTATAAATTCATTGGAGTAAATATTAAAGAAGTAAAGCATATGAGGGATCTTGAAGTATCTATAGACACAACTGAGTTTGGTGTAGGTGTATCGCATGAAGCAAGCCTTGACTTCTATCATATGTTGAAAGTATCCGTTTGGCGAATAACATATAGTGACATTTTTTTTGCACAATATTGTTAATAACAGAGTATACTGTCCAAAGCTGTTGGAAAAATTATCCTGGTGGTAATGACTACAACGCCTGCTTTATTCTATGCGCCCAAATATAGTACAAATTTAGGAAGTAACTCACATTTACAAAGAAATTATAACTAATAGTGTGCATAAGGCAATCCGGGCAGTTTACAACCATGTTTAAACTTTTATGCACGCAAGGTTAACGATACGTGTTGGTCATCGACCAACTCATTTACTGACACTCAACGACATTTTTTTTTTTACCTGATTCTTTAAAAACACGGCTTCCCTCGCTTCCGCGACTGTCCTGCAGGCTCATGAAACCTGGTTACCGGCGTGTATGGGGAAAACAGCGAACCCGCGGGACAATTATATTATCAAAAAGACACTAACTGTTCACTAAGATCCAACACAACAATTTGACCGAAAATAATTCTAAAAACGTCGAAAAACACGGATTCAGGGACAAAGCTTAAATATTAGGCTGTGTGTAGCAAGCACTTCATTACTGGTAAGTTTTCTGTCAACACATCTGACAACCTACTAAATTTTTATTAATCATTATTTAATAAAATTAGTGAAATGTTTAGGATAACTATGGAAAATTCTACATCATTTCTAAAACTGTGACACCATCACTGTTATATAAGAATATATATTCAATATGAGAGGGACTTTCATGGAATAATTTTAGGCAAGCCAGCAGCTTTGGAAGATGAGAACCATCCTGATTGGGTTCCATTACAATTTATGGAACACCAGTCTCAATCAATTGGACTTCTCGATTGACCAGTGAAATTCCATGAAAATGTTTTAAATAAATTCATGCAATGGTAGAGTCTTATCTATCATTATTTAATAATAATATGTATTTTGTAATAAATTGTTATGCGTTTATGATGGTCAATTTACCTATAAGCCTCTTCAAGATATACGAGAATGGGGTAGAGTTTCGGGGAATCCCAATAATAATACCGACTCCATTTAGTTCTCCGAACGATGCCACAGCGACATAAGGTGCAATATAAATATTTGTTTTTTAAAATTATTTGGGGGAATTGAATTCTGGTGCATCAATTCTACAACTCTAGATGAGAAAAAACACAAATTGGAGAAAAGGAGGAAAGTACTGTTTGCTAATGTAGGGATTTATATTGCATGGTGTTATTATTATTTATATTTGTTAATATTTTAAAAATAAACCATGACCTTTTGATAATTAGAAGCAATACTACAATTTACTTGAAAGACTTTCTTCTAAAAATGCATGTAGATATTTTATCAAAAGTTTTTGTAGACAAACTGGCTGTTAAATCTTTATTTCTGCTGACGGCAGCTAGCTAAATACTCCAGTTTCCACTAAAAAAAATTAAATTAATATTTCCAATTTTCTTATATTATTATTTGCGAATTTTGTTAACAGCTAAGAAAAGCTGAAATCGATGAAGGTCCATGTTTTGGAAAAGATAAGAATCAACCTACTGGAAAATCTACTCAAACGGACTTTCTTTCCTTGTACATGCTTGAGGAGTGATTTTCCGTTCCTTGGAATTATTAATATTTGAGTAAACATCGTTAAATGGATTCATAATTGTTGGGATTGAGGTAACCTCTACCTCTATCAGCGGAATTCGCCCTTGTCCTAGTCGACATTTGTCATGTCATTTTTGTTACGGAGTTCACCGTCAGGAGCGCTGTGTCAGTGGCGTGTCTTGGTTATTAAACAATTAACCGGTGAAATAAAAAAAATGTGTTTACGGCGGAAATCACACTTGATACGAGTATGAATTAAATAAAGCCGTTAGTTGCTAGTACCTGGATGTTTCATGAAATCGTGTTGATACGCCATGGGTACTCTGGCTTGACGGATGGACGAGTCTGTCATGCTGGTTGCCTATTAGGCACGGGAAAGTTATGTTCGAGAGACATAACAATTTCTTAGTAATCGTACCATAATGGTAATAGATTTATTATCAATCTGCTTTAAGTTTAATGGTTTTCATTATCAAGTCATAATCCATCTGCTTGTGAATGCATCTGTGATCATAAAGGGCAATGGGCGAGTGTCCCTTAGAAAGTTTAGTTGTCAAGAAGAAGAATATTTCTAGATTATTGATTGTAGTTGGCGTTCATTTTGCCGAATAAGCTGCTACGCTGTTTTAAATACTCCATTTTGGTAAGTTTCGTGTGTTATGGTAGATTAGCAAATACATTTTGATATTTGGAATTATGGCATATTTGTTTTTGTATTGCATATCGTGAGTTATTGCTTTTTGCTTTCCTTGTCTTGTAAAGTTTATTTTTGTGGTTTGGGGGCGGTTTCTTAAGAAAAGATATTTTGCAGTAATTGTAAATTGCCATGGTTATTTTGCTTTTGTTTTTCTTAATATCATATTATATACCACATAGAGACATTCAAGATGTGGTTGAATAGAGGATTGCTCCATCCTTGTTGGACACAAAGGCTACTACCGGTGTGAAAAGCCACTCTTGACAACCCTAAGGGCAGGATTGATGGGTGCCATGGAGTAGGAAAGAAGCAACAGTTCAGAAACAGCATATCATACGGAAGCTCGGCGAATATTAGGTATATTATTTTTAAACAAGGTTTTTTGAATGATGATGTAAGATCTTTTTTTTACAAATTTAAGCAATAAAAAAAAAATATTTTAATAGATACTTTTGTGTTTTAAGGCTGATTTATCGCTAGCACAAGGTTCTTGGAGAAATATTTGTATTATCTTGTATTCAAAGCTAAAAGAGAACCATAAAAAGTATTTGGAATGAAATGTGTATCAAGATTTTAGCGGCATGGGTTGGTAAATGGCACTGAGTCAGTTAGTTTCAGTTTTTTTTTTTAAGTTTGTTCTGTATCAATCTTGCAGGTTTTGAGGTATTATGATTAAATTTATACCATGGAATTACTTTTGGTTGGTTTTCTGTTTTGTTCAGAACATTTTTAGTCTCTTCTAACTTATCTCCAGCAAGAAATTATCAGCTTTTGATCTTCGCTAACTTTAATTTAATTTTTAAGACAAATAGAATGTAGGACTTTGGGACTATTATTTGTATTTCGACTTTTGTGTCATTTGATATAGTCATTACCATTTTATATGGGTCAATATCAAACTAACAAGGCAAATATCAATAGAAGCAAAGAGCACATGTTAAAGTATATTTTCTTTCTTGTTTTTATGACTAATGTCATGTCATTCACGCTTCTCCTTTCACAACTACACCATTTTTTTGTCATAATAAGGCAGAAATTGTTTTTCTATAGATGAAAATTGATTGTCTATCTTTTTTATATTACAAGTGGTGACGCCGAAAAGTTTTAAATGGGATCTTAAGGGATTTATATTTTTAAAATGAAGCAGTTTAGAAGTCTTACTGTCAGCTACCAAAGAAATTATTCCTTGTCTTCAGCAAGCAGTTAGTTAATAATAATTTTTATAACCGGCAATGACACTTCTAGGCTGCTTGATTTTTGAAATAGAAGGAAGTTAAGATCTACCCAAATCTGAATTTACATCTATCTACAGATCCTTTAAGGCGTAATGTTGAAAACTACTGAACTTAAAGGTTCAGTATAAATATACCTATTTTTAAAATTTAATTTGTATATATTTAGCAAGCGTACTAGTTGGAAAGTGCAAGTTGGTGATAGTATGGAGGTTATTAAAGGTTAAGAAGTTTAATGCAAAAATTATAGGACTTGATGGGAAGATCTAATATAACATACCTACTTATATACATGGTGTACCAAAAAGTGTAGTAAATTCGAGTTATTTAAGAAAAAAGGATGGCTTGTACGTCGTGTCATAAAAAGAAAGGACCTTTTACGCCGATTTCAAAAATATGTTATAGTTAATTTTTTTGCATTAAGCTCAGGATTGGTCAGAAATCAAATCCTCACATAGTTGGCTATGCATCATCGTGGCGTCATACCAACGCCACGTCTTTTGTTTAACCATAACAGTTGTGGTATATCTTGAAGATTATTGTTCAAAATTCAATAAAAGAATAATGTTTTCACTTGATAAAAAATTCGATATTTTGTTGTATATATGTAAACAAAAAAAATGCAAATAGGGCTAGGTGAGAAAATATGGAAATACACTGCACAGCGTTTCAATGATTCAATTAAAGCTATAAGTTAAAAATAGGGCTTCAACTGTTGATTCATTAGGTCGTTTTTAATATTGAGCTTAACTTATTAATAAATTAGCGTTTATATTTGTATTATATTGCATTCTAGGATTCAAATAGCAGTCATACGATTTGGTGCTTTAAACTTCAACTAGTTTCTTTTTGTATAAGTATGTTAAAAAAAAAATCTTGCTAACTAAGAAGCTCTTGCAATACCTCTTCGCTGCCGATCGTTGGTACTTTTGTAGCTTAGATGTGATGACAATTAGCATTATCATAAATTATTATGCTGCCTGGTTGGATATATGAATGAAAACAATTTTTTACCCAATTTTCAACAAGTTCACTTGTCATGTCTTTAATATTTTTTCCTCTAGAAGTGGATACGTTCAAAACTCAGTTCGATAAAGATTTTTGCCACCCATTCTTTATAGTGTTATGGGTTGCGTTGTGGAATTGGCCGGTCAATTTTTTTGTCAATTGACCAAAGTAATTTTAAAAGTGCAAAGAATTGAATTAAAACAAATTAGTACTTTATTTCATATAATCATTGAAATAATATATAAATAAAAAACATTATCATCTTAACAAAAAAAAAACTAATAAAAATTAGAAAATTAACCAAAATATACTTTATATTTCTATTGTAACTTAAAATAGACACAGCACAAACGAAAAATATTAAACATGTTTAATTATTAAGAGAAATAGACAGTGGTAAGATCTCATCTTCAGAGTCCATGTCATTGATGTCAATGTCCGAAGACATGTCAGCTTCAGAAGATGACCTTCCATTTTTGTTTATTATATTTAAATTATGTTTAACATAAACAAGTTTTCTAGATCGTGTCAATCTGTTTAGTGAAGTATTATTAACAATTCCCCAAGTTGACCAGTTCCTTTCACAATAAGCTAGGGAGGCCGGCATTTTTAGTAATTTTGATGCAGCCATGTAAAGTACCGATTTATTCTGCCAACTCTCCCACCAAGCTGATGGTGTAATATCTGATGATGTGTTACATACTGATTTGATACTTTTTACGGCTGTCCATATTATTCGATTATTGAATAAATTTGATGATGATCTAAAATTTGATATCTCCCCAAGTATTTCAATTTCGGATTTATTGCCACTAAGTTGTACGATTAACGTAGTGGCGCGTTGCAGTTCTTCTGGAGCTAAATTCTCTCCTTTATATCTAGGATCGAGTAAATATGCTGCATTGTGCGTGTCTGTACACGCCATGTCAATTCTTCTGATTACCGATGCAGTTGGTATTTTTTCTTCACTAAGTAAAGGACTCACTGAAACAAATGTATTAATGTGCTCTTTTATCAAGTACAGTTTGTGACGGACATCCGATAAAGTGGCATAACTATTTTCCATAAAGGCAAGCAAACGAACAACAGGATTCAATAAGTCAATAAACCTAATATTTCGATTCCAAAATACATCATTGAGTATGGTGGACTTTATTTTATTTGTTGTCAGGGATTCTACCTCAGGGTTAATTAAACATTCCATAAGTAGCTGTTTATTGGCTTGAACACTTTCCATACATTTGACACTACCCCATCTAGTCGTCACTGGTAATTTAAGAGATTTAGAATTATTGCCCTGCTGTCCCTGCTTTTCATTCAATACGGCATTGGGAATATGTTTGAATGTAAAAAAATTAACGATTTCCTTAGAAACACTGATATGATCAGAAAGTGTTGTAAGTGATTCAAGATCTTTCAGCAATGAATTCAAAGTATGAGAAACGCAGCCGTATGTTTGTAGATTTGGGTATGTTGCTTTTAATTCAACCCAAGCCGCTTGCATATTTGCTGCATCGTCGGTTACCAGAGAGGTAATCTTACTTCCACCAATTTTTTTAATAATTCTTGTAATTTCACCGGCAATGTATTGTCCCGTGTGCCGGAAACCTTGAGGTTGTGAAAAGTCATAGAAGAAATCTCCTTGCTTCGTATGCAGCATGTAGTTAATTATGCCTTCGTTTCTGACATTAGTCCAACCATCGCTCATTAAAGTTATGTTATTCTCATTATCAAGAATTTCTTGGATATTACTCTTTATTTTGTTGTAGCATTTATCAAGCTGAGAACTAGCGATAGTTTTTCTATCGGGAATTTTAAAAGCTGGGCGCAGTTTTCCAAAAAATTGTTTCCATTTATCTGACTCGAACATTGACAGAGCGCAATTCGATGAGTAAACAGCTTCACAGAAGAGAGTTTGTAGCGCAGATTGTTCAGGTTCACTTATATTATCAAAAGATGTTAGTTTTTGTATTTTGAAATGTTGAGAGCTAGTCTGGGAAGAACTAGGACAAATACTCGCGTTTTCCGAGGGATTGTGATCAATTTCTGAATGAAGCCTTTTGTTTTTTACACTTAACGTTCCTTCGGTTAATTTGTATTCGATCAAATTGGTCTTTGTCCTTTCATACTGGAAAAAACATAAACATAAAGCTAATGCAAAGTTAATTAACGTTAAAATATAGTGCTAAACTTACTAATCTACTTAATCAGAACTTACATATTCTTTCCGCACAACTTCTGGAACTAATTTACACTGTTTAATTATATGCTTTGTCATCCTATCGGCATGGGTAACATAAATTGCTCCGCAGTACTTGCAAATCCCTTTAACTTTGCTTCCGTCTCTTATCTCTGTAAAGCAATTCCAAATTCTACTTTTACTTTTACCTAAATTCATTTTTGACGGCGTTGCATTTAATTCCTCAACACACTACTGCCGCTGACAAGAATAAAATGCCGAAAATCGGGTTGTTATTGTGCGTCACGTCGTCGTCGCGTCGTTCTGAGAACTAAATGGAGTCGGTATTATTGGGATTCCCTGAATCGCTAAATATCGAATTTGGGTATTCATTGAAGAGGGTTATAGGTAAATTGGACATCACAAACGCACAGTAATTTGTATATTAAATTACATATATTATTAAATAATGATAGATAAGACTACAATTGCAAGATATTATTTAAAACGTTTTCACCGAATTTGATTAGTCAATTAAGAGGTCAATTGACCACGGTCAAATAACGAGCTCTAACACTTATTATAGGCGTCGAATGAAGTCTCGTCTAAATAATATATACTTCGTTTTTCTACGCGAACTTTATGAATTTGAGTTAAATAATTTTGTTTCCATTCCAGAAATCGTTGGCTCTCTTTAATGCCACAATTGTCAATATTTTTAAATCTAAATCCGACTTTGTGCGGAAGTTGGCGCAATGTTTCACGACTGCCAGAATTGGCGGATTTTTTTATTTACTATGTTCCAGTTCTAAGTTCCAGAAATGTTAAAGTAAACTATGACTGATATCATTTTTAAAATTTAAATAGGTAGAAGTTACATAAAAACGAAAAGTTTTTATACATGCCCACGTTAATGGTGGTACCCCCTTTTATTTTTTGTACCCTTGTATATAGCACGATGAAGTTTGGCATGCACGTATACAGGGAGTTTTCTTATTGAATGCTAATAATTAAGTTGGCGATATTTGGGTTCATTAAAAAAAAAAACTTCATATGAACTTATGTCTGACACGTCTTTATTTTTAAGATTCAGGGTGGTAAAGTTTTCAAAAATAAAAAACATTTTTTTAATATCTGTAACACCTCTTTAGATATTTTAATGAAATTTGGCACACATCTACTATCTGTCAAAAGGCATTATTTAGTGTACCACATTTTTTTTTAAAACACACTAGTGGCGGGCGTACGGAATTTCACCTGTCTATTTTGGCAGACATTGATGTTAGACCACTGATTTGTTCTTACAATCGCCAATCATTCTCTTAAAAAGATAAAAACCTCTTTTCTGCATATTCATAACAATATCGTTAATCTGACAGCATGCAGAGAAATTAGTTTTTATTTTTAAGTGAAAACCGTGCGACGGACTAAAAAAAAAGTAAGAGATCAAATCTGCTCATAAATGAATGCAAATGTCATTTTTTTAAAAAAGATAATCAGTTGCGTGCCACTGACTGTCTATGAACAAATAATATTTTGGTTAATTAGGTGGCCACTGCACTTGTTAAATCGAGAACTTGTTTTTTGTGTACCAACGTGTCCTTTAGACAAAAAATATCTTAGAAAACTGTTCTTTTGACTTTACAGTTTTAATGAAATAACATCCTAGCAAGATAAATAATAAACTCTTAAAAAAAAATTGTAATTTTTAACAAAAATGTCTGTTAATAAAATAATAAATAAAATAAAACAAGCTTTTTGATAAAAGTAGAACATACAAACTAGATTAGTTGGGGTTGTAGCTGTTTGTACCCCCCTTTCTTCATTTTTTTAATTGTCATATTTTCTTTGAAGTGTCAAGAAACAAAGACTATTATTATTATAAAAGTGCCCTTTTTATTTTTTAAAGCGAAAACCGTACACCGACCGAAAAAAATCAATTAAATTTCTTTCGAAATAATTGGAGATTGTAAGAATAATTTTTATTTTATGAGAAATCAGTGGTGTAACATCTATTTTACCAAAATGGACATGTGAAATTCCCTGGTGCAATAAAATAAATGTGGTGTACTAAATAATGTGTGCCAAATTGTATTAAAATATCTGTAGTGGTATTACAGATATTAAAAAAAATATATATTTAATTTTTGAAAATTTTACCACCCCGTATCTCAAAACTTAAGACATTTAGGACAAATGTTTCTATTTAAAGTGGACCCAAAAATATCTCCCTTAATTATTGACCTTCAATTATGAAACACCTTGTATAATTAAAATGTTTAATTTTTGACATGTAAACAATGTCTCAAAATAGTAGGATTGTTTTCCCACGTTCTGTTCGCATACCAATTTTGAAAACATTTGATTTGTCAATTCTTGCATGACGAAATTTTTAATTACAATTTCATTTAATACAAATAATAATAATTATTATTGTAAGGTGAATATAGCATTAGAGAGTGCCAGGTTATGTTAGATTATTTTCACTTGTCAATGTCAAAATATTTAATCGTTTTATCAGTGCGTCAAGTCAATTTAAACTTAAATTTTCAAAGAAACTTCCACAGGCTAGTGTAACACCTTTTATAAAACTTCTGGATTCCTCCTGCGTCGGTTTTTTTGAGCCGAACTAGCTAACGTTTTCGCCATGTTCTATCGGTAGTTTTAAGTTCGTCGTTTTGTTAGTAAGTTAAGTATTCTAGCAAAAAACTGAAGCTATTCTGATTTTGGTGAATTCTATCGCAATTTACATGAAGCAGTTAGAATTTTTAATGAAAAATGAAAATCTCATCACACGGCAATATTTCAAAAAGTGCTAAACAAATTTTTTACTAGTGGCACAATATCGCTGAGAAATGTGCCGTCTCTGCAAAAACTGTACCTAAGTACCTTAGAAAACAAAAGTTTCACCCCTACAAATTAAGTTTAGTACATCAGCTGTCAGAAGAAAATCCGGACAATTATTCAGGTTACAAAGCATGTCCACTACGTATGTTGTAGTGATGAATCACAATTTTATTTGGATGAAAGTCCACATGATTTCCGAGATTATCACACAATATCCGCAAAAAATAAATGTTTACTTGCTAATCATATTTTTGGTCAATATTTTTCGATTATAATCTTACTGCTGAACGTTGCCGTGATATGGTACAAAATGGAATTAATCCACATATTCAAACAGTTGTAGCAAACAACCGAACTGGTTTTCAAAGAGACATAGTTTTTCAGCAGGACGGTCACTCGGTCACCAGACTTAAACCCATGGACTTTTTAAAAATTTATGTTACAAAACCAAATTCAGTTGAAGATCTAAAAGACCGAGTTCGAAATATTTGCAGTGTAGTTCCTCCAGAAACTTTGTATAATGTTAAGATCGAGTTTAGTGACAGATTTTATTATTGTCAAAAACCACAAGGTGGTAAATAGTTGATAAAATGATTAAACTATTTATTTTTTTTAATTTCAGCTACTGTTAAGTAATAAATGAATAATAATTAAGCATATCAAAGCATTCATGACTGTCTTGCAAAACTGACGAATCGAATGTTTTCAAAATTGGTATGCGAGTAAAACATGAAAAGACCTTTAATACCAGCTATCATATGACCCCTCTTAAAATAAAAAATAAGATAAAATGGTGCTCCGTTGTTATTTGGCCCTTTTGACATATTGTTTTTATGTCAAAAAATAGATATTTTAATTATATACGTGCATGCCACATTTCACCGTGTTACACCGGGTGACACATAAAGTGAGAACACTCTATAACTTTAAATGGCTTTAGATAGCGACTTGAAATTTGGAAGGGTTAATATAGTCTGAATATCCAATTTTTTGGCAATATGTAGTTAATGGTTGCACTCCCGGTTTGAACGGAAACGACAGTAACTTTCGAATTTTAAATGGCACAATGATATAAATGTTAGGACAGTTTTTCTCTTTCACGATTAGAATTTTTTGTTGAAAGTGTTTTATTATGGTAAAAAGTTGATATTTTTTTGGAATATAGGAATACAGTGAAAAACTAACGTAAGTATTGTATGTATATACGTAAATCATAAGCTACAAGCACTTTTTACCTGAAACTCAGAAGAACAAGAGAATAGAAATATTTTTTTTCTTTTCAAATCTGTCACTTTCTGGAATAATTTAACACAATATTTTGAAAATCTGTTAGAAAATGAAACATCAACAATGTCGGTACAATCGATTTGAAAGTGGTATATCAACGTGTGTTACTGTAAGACAAGTTTTACATTGAAACAAACAAAACATCACATTCATTTATTTTGGAAATGGAGTTTTGTTATTTATTTAAATTAAATAAGTGCGATTGATATTTACTTAATAACCAATTTATTTTTAGATGAAACTTGAATGTTTTCAAAATGTACTCCTTCCTGTATATGACACTCCCTGACTCTAGAACTTACATTCGCTGTAGCCCTTCCTAACATTTCGGGAGTTATACTATCAAATGCAGATATTCTCTGCTGTAGTTCTTGTAGGTCTAACACTGGAGTTACATAAACACGATCTTTCACGTACCACCAAACAAAAAAAATTAACGGTGTCAAGTCCGGTGACCGTGGGGGTCAATTGACTGGACCGTGTCTTGAGATTAGTCTATCCCCATAAACATCACGTAGGTGTTCAGTGACATCTCTAAAATTTTTAGGAATTCTAACTATCGTGCACTAGTTACGGCTCCGTGAAAAAAAAAAAAAATGCAACAATTCGCCTTCCTATCACGTTTGTTCAAACATTGATTCCGAACCCTTGTTGAAACTGTCCGGGACGAATAATTCTTTTGATTATTTAGAGACCTGTATCTGTTGTTCTGAGGTCATGACTCATCAGTGAACAAAATTAAGTTAATGAAAATATTATTCTCATCATGTTTATCTAACAGCCAATTACAATATCGAAGTCTTCTTACAAAGGCAGCTTCATAAAGATGTTGATGAAGGTTATACTTTAAATAATGAATTTTTTTTAAATTCTCCTTACTGATTCTCTTGAGATCTCTAATTCTAATGCCACTTCTCTTAGCGACGCAGCTGGATTTACGTTGACGTATCCCACAACATTAATTTCCATTTCTTCACTTATAATAAAATATCATGTCGATTATTTTGTGGATTTCTCATTTTCAATTCCAGCTTTCTGAAGAAAGAATGTGCAGGAAAGCGTCGCACAGTGGGCAAGGGAAACCCTAGGTGGTGGCTAATATAATAAATTTTACTTAATATTAACAACACAACAATAAAAAGAAGAAAATATTACGAATATCAAACTTTAATTACTATATAATTTTTATACAAGGTGATCACAAAAAGATTCAATATTTAAGTAAATAAAAAAATACAGGGTTTCCCAAATTTAACAGTGTAACAAAAAAAAACGTTATTTATTTAATATAGATAAAACAAAATATTGTTTTCGTTTTTTTTAATATTTAAGTTTTTTTGCTTGAAAGAAACGAAATAAAACAATAACAGGGTGTTTCTACATCTAAAATATCATTAAAATACATCTAAAATATCATTCAGTTAAGGACTTTGCTCTGTTTTTGTTACAATTTTTGCATTAGTCATAACTTTACAAAAGTTAAACCATTGCTTTGCAATAAGGTTTTGATTTATAGTTAGTCTTAGTGTCAAAAGAGATGACAAACCATAGTAAACAAAAGTTATGACAATACCTTTCACTACTGAAATGCCAAAAATAATAACCATGTCTTGCATGAATCAAATTATCGCTCAACAAAAAAAAGAAAAGAAATTTATATATTAATTATTTAACTATAATAAATAGGAAACACTTAATACTAACTCTGAAAAAATCATACTGTTATAAAGATGAGCTATTTTTTTAAATAAAATATGCCTACTCAGAATCACTACTACTATTATCAGCACTGTGGCTAAACTAGATTTTTCTTTTTAGGTAAGTTTTCTTAAACTTGTTATACGCGGGTCCGAAGAGATTAATAAATTTTGGAACACATCAGTGTTAGTGTCGACGCTGCCCATTTTTCTTGCATGATGTTCCCTGCATCATCTGTACTCAGGATATTATTCAATAAGTTCTCCCCCATGAATAAGAATTTTATGTATAGTAACGGGCATTTTGTACCAGGGATAAAGAAATACAAATTGTTTGGCTGTTTCCAAAGAATATGATTTAAAATTATTGATATCAGTGTTAAGTCCGCTGGCAATCATTTGTAAAATTACAAAAAATCGACATATTAAATTTTGGTCCAAACCGGTTATTTCAATAGATATTATAATTTTTTAAAAAAATTGCGTGCTGTATTTCCATCATTACTTATACCAACACCTTGTTTTACATGATCTGCTATCATGCCTAAGCGATTTCAAAAGTCTCTTTGAATCCTTTGCTTTTCGTTTTGAATTACAATTTTATCCTCTTCAGTAATTCGCCATTTTTGTAAATTTAAGCGGTAGCTTATCTTAAGCAGGCATTCCAGGCAGCGAATCCACGCATGTAAGGTAGACATTCAAAAATTTAAATGGCCATCCTTTATGATATTTTTACTACCTCATCTGTGCTATTCATTTGCGAATTGAGAGCCTCACATATGTAACACTTCTGTGACGATGTATTTGTCAAGGCACTAACCATTTTGCCATCAGTCATTTACATTATTAACTCATGTTTTATGAAAACAGTCAAATGCTCACTTACTACAACTCCAGTTGTATGAAGATTTTGTATTATTTATATTTCAGTTGTTTTTTTTTTAATTGCATTTTGATAGATCTGCAATAAACAGTTGAAGAAGGGCGCGCATTTTGCCATATAAGCGTTTTTTCGTTTTTTAAATTTTTTGAGTATAATTCTAAAGGAACAGGACAAAAGTAAAGAGTTGTATGAAGATTTTGTATTATTTATATTTCAGTTGTTGTTTTTTTTAATTGCATTTTGATAGATTTGCAATAAACAGTTGAAGAAGGGCGCGGAATTTGCCATATAAGCGTTTTTTCGTTTTTTTAATTTTTTGAGTATAATTATAATTATTATTTACATCAAAATTATCGGAGGAAAGCTCAACAACTGTAGCAGTGATTTCTGAGGGGTACAGGATTGTTTAGCGTTTCGAATATCATTATTATATAAATTTAACTTGTTTTCCTTGGCATTGTTTCGAAACAGTTGATTTGTCGCTTGGGTTGTCTTGTCCTATTGTTATTATTTGATAATTTTAAATGTTGGACTGACTCGTTGAATGAGTTTGCTATTTGAGCCTATAAATTTGCCGCTGCTGGTTTACCCGAAGCTCTTAAACTTATTTCTGCAGCAAATACAAGTTCGTTGGTTTCACATTCTCGGACTTGTTTCGTTCATTCATATTTCCCTCCATAGCTTAAAATGTCAAAATTTATTTTTTGTCAGCCCACGGTGGAAGTTTTTGGTTTATTGCTCGGTATTGTTACATTTGTTTCCAGTTATTCTGCATACCTCGTCAAAAATCCATTTTTATTCCTGTTTGCCGCCTGTCATTTTCTTCGAAATTGGAAAAAATAATTATTTGCAAAGATTAATTTTTTGGTTTTGATTTCGAGTGATTTTTAAATTCTAAAAAAGAACGAACCACATTTTAGTTCAATTGTTGTAAAGAAACGAACAGATAGATGAAATAAAGTAAAAGCGTTGATTTGGAGCTGAGCTAGGCTGCCATGTTAACAAGTAATATTTTTGAAACGGGCTGATCTGATTTTAGCAACTGCTAGCACGTTGTGTGTGGCGGAAATAGAGCTTTCCTAGTAATTAAAAAAAGGATAAAAAGTTTCTCAAAATATAAAAATAAACGGATCTGTCTAAAAAATCGACTTTGAATTTAACTGCCATCTTTGATTTTAAGATGGCGGATAAAAAATATTTTGGTTTAAAACCTTGATCGATTTCTCGCGAAGTGAAATTTCTTCCAATAAGTTTGGCTACATAGGTCAAAGCTTATAACGAAAAATATACTTTTTTGGCCTATTTTTTTTAATATGACTCAAAGCAATGTAGAATTTTTTAAGGATAATTGCCTTAGAGTAGTTTACTCAGCATAAAATTAGTCTCAAAACTTACCTTTACTGGCTTCCTGCATTTTGAATTTTGTCAAAAGCTAATTTCTTTTTAAAAAATCCCCTCTACTTTTCACACAAATTTGTATGAATAAAACATTCTGAAAATGACACTGACAAAAAACGTTAAAAAAATATTGTTGACGTTTCCGTGATAACAAGACGACTTAAATCGCCTGTTTGAGTGTAATTAGTGTGTGATAAGGAAATCATTGTACGAAATAATTTAGGGGGCGTTCCCTGACCCACCGTGTGACGGCCTGGATAGCGGGCTGCATACAATGCACGGGCCTGTCGAGAGTTTTCTCTGCATTCCCCGTATATCAGAAACATATCAACTATTTCTCCATTTGTAAATTGATTATTGATTAACACGACAAAATCGATTATCAGATAGAAATGTACAAACTGTCAGAATTTTTAATCATACTTGATGTTGGATGGAAGCAAAACTACTTAAGTAATATTTTGTTTTTATAAAAATGTATTTACGTATCTCATTTTTTCTTCCTGTGAGCTTATTTTTTAACGGATTTTAAAAATTTTGGTGTCAAAATGTTGCAAAAAAAAGTACCGGTTTTAAAGAGTGTTTATTCTCACTATTTGATAAAACTAAGTTATCCTAAGAGATTTATAGATCATTACATTAAATGCTATTTGCTATTAGACAAATAAAGAAAAAATTCTCAAAGAAACTTCCACAGGCTACTCTAATACTTTTTATAAAACCTCTGGATTCCTCCAGCGTCGGTTTTTGTTGAGTCGAACGCTAGCGAGAGCTTGACTGAAACTAGTTTTCAGTCAAGCTGAAGAAGCCAACAGGATGATTGGCGAAAAACAATGCAATCAATATGGGGTGTGAAATTTAAAATTCGAAAGTTTCGTTTCTGCTCAAGCCGGAATTGCAACCATTGACTACATATTGTCAAAAAATTAGACATTCACTAACCAAAACTAACCATTCGAAATTTCAAATCGCTATCTCTAGCAATTTAAAAGTTATAGAGTGTTTCCACTTTCTTGTGTCACCCGGTATATAAGGCTGCAAAACGCAAAAGTTTGGTCCCATCATTTACTCGGGCACTGTGTAAATTTTACCTTCATATCCTCGTCCTGGCTTGTCCGTTATTCTCCTCAATTCCGTCGATGAAATTTTTTTCAACCCACAAACATAACATATAATGAATGTAAAACACCACCAATGCCAAAGCACAAATGATTTTAAAATTTCTAAGGTGTCAAGACAAATTCTCGCCATTTATCGTGCAATAGAGTATACCAATAATTTTCTTTTAAATGCAGCACAGGAAATTATTTTCACAAAAAATTTATGCTTGCATAAGTAGGATATTTAAAAAGTAAAAGTTATAAGGGTGGTAGTGCCAACTTCGGTGTCAAATTCGAATTACACCAGCGATCTTTTTAAAAATCTAGAATCAACGAATATTTTTCTTTTACGTCAAATTTACAGTAAAGCAAAATACTCCCAATCCATGAACAAAATATTCAAAAAGTTCGTTTCAAAGTAGAAGTAGATAAACAACGCGAGTAGGGTGTGCTCCGCCGCCGAGCGGGGTCCCGATGTTTTTTTCTGATACAGCAAATTTACTAAATTAGCGCATATAAAATTTTTTGCAAGTGGTAATACTTTGCGTCGTTTTTTACTGCGAGAGTATAATAAAATGTAAATTTGCAATCACAGGTATGTTGTAAAGTTCAGATAAATTTCAGTGATAGTTTTTCTGTATTTCAGACCTACACATCTGGAATCCTTCCTAATTTGCATATGTTACGAATTTAGTGACTAGCTGGATAGTATCTAAATTTTATTTATTTTGATGTGAAATATTTTTACCACTTCTCCAATCAATCATTTCTAAAGAAGTTTCGTTTCTTGATTTTTTTCAATCCGACGTACGGTTTACGCGTTAAAAAATAAAAACCTCTTCTCTGCATGGTCATAATATAACGTAAGATGTTTAGTCTAGTGCCTTTCAAAAAAAAAAAAAGTTGAAGACTGTTCTGTTTACTTTTACAGTTTCAGTGAAATAACGACATCCTAACGTCAAGATAAATAATAAACGATTCTTATTTAAAAAAAAAGACACTACGTACTATTAAGAATTTTTAACAAAACCTTTTTGAAAAAAAGTAGAACATAGAAATTAGATAAGTTGTTTAAAGGGTCCACCACCTTGAAGGATACACGCTTCATAAATAGTCGAAACTATTTAAATCTGTCGGTTATTCGGTCGGTTATTAAACGTGTGCAACTCTACATTGAGCAGGCACGCCGTCATTTACGAACATTTAAATTAAATTTAAATTTAAATTTAAATATGGTAGCAATATTGGTAAATCGTCTTATAAGAACCGGCGATTATTATGGCCATTTATCCTTTCTGGTTGGAAAAAGGGCCCAATAAAGTAATTTCCAACAATTGCAGCCCAGACATTTACTGAAAATTGTTCTTGATGTTTAAGTTCTCCAAACCAAGATGTGCGAGATATTCAGATCTTTTAAAATGTTTATAGTACCACAGGATTTTCAACAATAGAATTTAGAACTGCTTCTTCAATTTCTGATGTTCTTACAGTCCGATAGTCCTCTTTTAAGTGATTATTTGACCTTTTGGCCATTCCACGTCCCCCGGGGAGATTTCTAGATAGCAAATTTACAAATGCCCAAGTAACCTTTTAATTTAGTTCGGGTGGTGTCCGAGAGATGTCGCGCATTAATAGTTCAGATTTTGGCCGCTAGATGTCGCCCTTAGCATTACAGATTCCCAAGCAACCCTTTAATTTAGTTCGGCTAGTGCCGAGAGATGTCGCGCATTAATAGTTAATGTTTAGGTCTCCAGATGTCACCTCTAAGTATTAAAGATTCCAAACTCTTTAATTTGTTTGACGAAAGATGGGTAGGGGGTAGTTTTTTGTGTTTGTACACAGCTGACGGCGTTGCGTTTATATCGCGGAGCGAGATGATTAGGTCACCGAGGTCGCGCGTAATCTACCTAAATAATGAGACGCTGAGAGGTTTCTTATCTCTAGATGCCACTCGCGCTTTGTTTTTTTTGCTGATGAAATAAAAAGGTGCAGCAAAAAATACGTTTCATGAGCGCGCCCTGAAGGAATGGTTTTTCATCTCTCGACGCTATTCCCTGTTAATATTTTTTTCGCAGCGAGACAATTGGGTCGCCCAGGTCGCCCATAATTAATTTTTTTAAGATACACGCCCGCAAAAGTTATTAATTGTTTTTAAGATATAAACTATAGTGCCCACACGGCACTCGCAAATACGCCGCTTACGCGAGCGGGAGGCGAGCCCGAACGACGTCGTTACGCGGAGCGAGATTATTATGTCACCGAGATCGTGCATAATCTATATAAACAAAGCACACTCACTCAGACGCTGTTAATAATTTTTTGCGATAGCAACTACCTGACGAATACGTTTCCGCCAGCGCGCCCGGAAGGGATTGTTTCTTAAGGCCCCCACAGACGCTCAGTTTTTTAATCCAGGCCGCCTGTGCAAACCTAGTTGTACAGGCATATCGGTGAGTTTGTGTGAACGTCCGGCCGACTGAGCAGGCCGTTGGCCTCGCATGAGCAAAATCAGACTGTGCTTGAATTTAGCCTACGCAAACTTGGAAACCTGAGCGTGTGTGGATTCGTTCAGTTAAGTTGTTCAGCTTTAAGGTTTATTTAAAATCCAAAAATAGTAAGCAACAAAATGACGAATGTTAACAAACAGTTTTTAAGCGAATTTATTGAGATATACAAAAGCTTACCATATTTATGGAAAAAAAATAAAGAATACAGTGACAGAAATAAAAAGTCCGCAGCCTATGATGTGTTGGTCGAAAAACTCAAAGAAGTTGATACGGGAGGAAATAGGGAAGCCGCGGTTAAAAAAAAATCTGTTAACCGCTCATGACATGAAATTGATTGCCGAACGAACGAGTTTCAATAATATCAAGTAGGTTATCTCGTCCATTCTTAGATAGTTAAAGCAATCCTGCTTCTCAAGTTTCAAATCAGCAGGCAAATTGACATAGGAGTAATAATTTCTTTTGAGTAATCAATCTTTGGTCTATTTGCTTCTTTGAACCAACCGTTGCTTTTTTTGCTTTTTCTTTATTGCACAGGCAAGCACAATGCAATATAATGGCGTATCTCGAGAAGCCATTTTCTTTTACTAAGTATAGAAAAACCGTGCCAAAACTAGTGAGTGTGAATTTACCCAGTTGGCTGTATAGAAAGAACTGTGCTATAAAACTGCGTCTGTGTGGGCCAGGCAATAGTACAGTTAAACTGCACAAATTGGTCTGAACAGTTGGCCCGTGCTAAAAAACTGAGCGTCCGTGGAGGCCTTTATCTCTCGATGCTACTCGCTGTTTGTTTTTTTTCGCAGCGAGAGAACGCAGGGTAACAAAAAATAAGCAATAGTAAGCTACATTTTTATTGAGACGTACATAGCGGAAAGAATCTAAAGCATTACAGTACGCCGTATAGGTATACTTCGAAGAAGCAAACATGTGGGGAAAATAACTCTGTATTTAAGATATAATAGCCGTATAAACACGTGATGAATAAATTATTCGTTCCTTTAAAGAAAAAAAAAAATTTTATCAGTTGCTACACCCACACGTTTCATGTTATCATAAAATAGGAAAAAACTCGGACCGGTTTGTCTACAAATATACCGGGAAGGTGGTACCTGAAATTGATCAGAGGGTAATTTATAATAAAAATATAGATACTAAGTTAGTCTCTCTCGTGGTTCCCTTCTTTCGCATGAAACGAATTTAAATAGGGCACCAGTTAAATTCGTCGATACAAACGTACAATTACTGAAAGACGAGACCGACTTTTTAGCGTAAAGTTTCCGCTCAATAAATAATTTAACGAGGTGTCTAGATGAATAATTATTAAATTTAAAATATTCAAAAGAAAGCAACAAACGGTATTTTGTTCCTACACGTGCGCAAGCGGTTTTTGTATACATTTTTTTTTCAATTGAAAAGCTTCAAAAATTCCCGCAGGAGTAGAAAATGAAATGAATATATACAGCGAGAGCAAACACCGAGCATAAAAATGTTCATGTGCCATCCCTTTACGTGTAGATACGTGTAGGAACCCTGTGCCTTGAAGAAATAAATATATTAAATATGATTGGGAAGTAGGGAGGGTTATTAAATATTTTTCGAATTGAGCAATTCTGTTAGCTGGGAATGTGTTGCTTTAAAGGGTCCCTTGTTCACATTTTCTATAATAATCGAAATCGTTGACCGAAAAACGAATATTATATGGTATAAAGGATGAATTAAAACAAATATTTTGCGGACCGCACCAGAGCAAGCAACCCCCACATTTCCTTCCCGCGTTTTTTAGGTAGCAGAGAATATCAAACACAAGGAGCAGCACAATTATCATTATTTGAAATTCTGTGCATAGAGAAATGTCATGTAAGTACTTTTTTGTACTGAAGCTTTTTTCTCAAAGTTTTTTTTATGTGTAGGTGAACTTACGATACTCATGGCCATTGAGCCTATGGTTGAGGCTCAGTTTCCAGAGGAAAACGTAAGACTTTTAAAAACTTTATTTTATCAGTTTGCAAAGTTTCTTCTGCTGCAATATTACGTACTGCTGGGATTTCCACCAGAGGTTGCTCCGGCGGGGGTGGTGATTATATATAATGGGGAAATGTATAGCATGGCAGTGGTAGCCTGGGTTTCCCAGGGCACCGTTGCCGTTTATATATTAACGATCAATAAAAATGCTTACATATAATTATATACTTTTATATGGTAAACAAGTTTCATGTTCTGCTGCACCCGGAGAAAACAATCATTGATCTGAAACAAGTGCTACGCCTAAATATTTCCGAGAAATTATTTTTTTAATATTTTACTTAAGAAATCTAATTTACCAATCACAAAAGCAAAAGCATTGATTATGTATCAGACAAAATTGTGTTCCATACTCTAAAAACAGATTTTTACTTTTTAAGAAAAAATTGATTTTTTTATTATTATTTTCAAATGCACCATGGCTTTGCCTTTTAGTTCTCTATGTACTAGAACCACCTTTTTAGAACTTTTTCTTTGAAAGGCGTACCAAATAGTCTTTTAATTCTACAATTGTCCGCATCCAATTTCCCCCCTCGGCATTCCAAAGATTCTCTCTCTCTTCTTTTCTAACACTTTTACTGCAACAAAACCTTTCGCGATTGACATAATGATAAAGTTCTCTCTTATAAAATTCAATTTCAAGAAATCCCCTGCTAGCGCTTATAAGCCAGTAGGTAGACGCCCAAACCCCTCCCAAAATACTTATCAACTTCCAGTTTTCCACCATTAAAAAATTGATTCAGATTTTTTTTTCTTATACCTGTTCTTCAGAGTTGTGAGTTTTTGTGTAATTGGAGACAATTGTTCTGCTTCTTAATTTCATAATTTAATGTTGATTTTAATTATATGTTTTGTTAATTGCTGATACATATTTAAGTCTTATCAAACTTTTTTGAACCGGTGCCGTGCATACGTAAAGAACGATAAACGTGACAATATAGCCGCGTATAAACTTGTGGTAGGATACGACCGCAGAGCAATTTTTTTTATCTAAAAACTAATAACACTTTGTGTGTTTCATCTACTCCTTATTTCTGTCATTTCAAATAATTCTAGTACTTTATGCATTAATAATTTATTGTACTTATTTAAAGAAAATGAGATCGCTTGGTTGCAAATCATACAAAACTCTCATTCATTTCTCTGTCACAAAAAAATGTCTTTTTCCGTTTGAGGCGCCGATTTTAATGTTTTAAATAACCTATTAATCTGTATTTAATTTAAAAAAAGTGCAATATAGCGGAATAAAAATTTAATTTTGACAATAATGTTTTAAATCTGATTATTTATTCTTCTGCCACTAACCTAACAAAGAAAAACGTGAATATCTCATATAGGATTTGTTTACAAGGAATGGCCATTAATTGTTGTTAGTAAGAGCATAAAATAAAAAAAGTGGGCATTTTATTTAAAAAAAGTTGCTATAGGATGCTTTCAAATCATCAGGTTAAGCGGTTAAATACTGGAAAGTTGTTTCTTATTGCTGTGAAAACAAGCCCCAGTGATTCAATAACAAGTAAAATAATGAAAAAGAGCTGCTTGAAGCGTGAGAAGTTTCAGATACTCATTGGTTTTAGATAAGCTCTTTTATGGTATTTAGGTTGGAGAAAATCCACTTTTGTAATCTGGATGTTTAAAAGAAAGATTTGAAGAAGCTTGTTTTTGTTTTCAGGTTTGTTTGGAAAAAACTTGGCGCACTGATTTATTTTTGTAAGGGTCTTCATTTTGTTTCATCAAAAATAAAATTTACTTTAATGGCCTCCGTAAAATTACTTACGGAATCAGCCAATTTGATACCCAGGTTTTTAAATAATGCAATAAAAATCAATAAATTGTTGAATTAAAGCAAATGTTAGTTTGATTTCTTGCATTCACTTCCTTGCCCATTACAGTATTACCTCAACGTTGTATATAAAACGGTCCACCAAAACGGCGGATCTTCAACGCAAGGCTCTTGTTCCGGCACGTTCAGCAAATAATCTTTCCTTCTCTCCAGCATCATTTCTCTTTTCAACTTGCTTTTGTTGTTCATCATCTACCGACGATGCTCGAAGACTCGCGCCCTAGCGAAAGCACTAATAATTTGAACTTCGGCAGCATGATTTCTGCAGAACATGACTACTGATATAGTATGGTAAGACTTAGTCCTTCGACTAAGGCTTCATCAAGAAATCTCAGTCAAAAAAGCAGCAAACACGGATGTTAGCGCCCAGCCGTTTCGCAAAAATCGTCGGATCCTGCAATTTCAAGAAGCCATTTGCCATGACTGCTACGGCTACGAGTGCAGGATGTCGTTATCTGAACTGAGTAGGGTAACATCAAGAGGGCATCCCCAGAAGTAGTCGGACAAGCTTACGTCATGACAAAAAATCCAGCCAAAATTTAATAATACCTAACGTTAAATTGTCAAAGAAACAGGAAACGGTTGTTCGAACAGGCGATCAATAATATATTAAGGGGCTATCGATGCCGCAGAGTGGTTCATTTTCCCCAATTACAATTCTTGAATTTTGAAAAATTAATATGATTTAGATTGAAGCGTATTACAAATCACCACCACTATCATTTGAATAGCTTTTAGCGTTTGAAGTTCCTCCTCATATTATTGTCGATATTTCGACTAGACCACTAGTTTTAGCCGGTAAACGTCTTAGACTTGACATAACCGAAACGGAAGATACTATTAAAGCATGGATAAGACCTTCATCTATTGGTTTTGTGCAAATTTGTGTTATGTTTGGGAATATAGAAACGTCTTTATGCCTTTATCGAAGAGCTTCATTATAATTTCATTTAGAAACACTTCTGCTATTTGCTGATGTTTCGTCAATCATCTTGTTGCCTTCTTCAGAGATAATTGAAACTGATTTGCATTCTGCTCTGTACCTGTTATATACTGTTACTTGTTTACAGAGTCATGAAACTATCAATCACTAAACCCAAAATGAAAACCATCTGCTTTTCTTTCAAATAATTTTCACATTAGATATATTAAGCGTTCCATTACAAGCTGAAAAGTGTCAAAGAAATATAACGTTTATCAGACGTCCATAAATCTCTCAACATCTTCGATCCATCAAAGAAAAAATCTGTTTGGGACCCCAGGAGTTTACAGCATTTCATGGATGTGCGGCAAAGAATACATTGGGGAATCAGAACGAAAAATATTAACTGGGGTAGAAGAACATGAAAGAGCATTAAGACAAATAAACTCATAAGCAGTTGGCAAAGACTATCTTAAAACTATACATCAGATCTTATTCGACAAAATTAAAATTCTTGTGAAATTGATGCACGTCCCTGTGGGTGTCTTCGGAGAAATTCCAGTCTGCGCTATGAGTGGTAGTGCTGAATGTACATTCTGCAAAATGTGGTCTTCTCCATCCCCTCTTACGGAAATCGCAGGCTAAATCTCGACTCATCAGTAAACAGAATGCTCCTCCATTAATGCCAACTGTCTTTGTCTTCGGGTTCTGCCCATGCGTAAACAGTTCGAGATATCCAAGATACGCAGGTTTAACCAGACCGAAGATTGATCGCAGCAAATCGATAGCCTCTGGCCATGTTTGCCAAGGTTGACTTAACTCCCTGGTACCAAGTGGCAGCAAAACCGTCTAAGAGCATTGGCAACCCTTTTAGAGCATTTTCGTTTGAAATATCGGTACAGTCTTTGTACACGTCAATGAATGCTTTAACTTCCGCGTCCCACGAGCTCTTAAACGCGAGCTACATTTGGAAAAATGTCTGTTTCAGCGTTGACTGTAGGATTTTAAGGTAGTGACCCATTGTTGGAAGCGAGACGATTGAGGAGTTCTTGGAATTGCGAGTCCGTAAGAGTAACAGTAGACGTAGGCGTAGACATTTTGTTTGATCGAAGGTTTTTGCCCTTCCACGATGAAAAATAGTCAAAGTTTGTACCGTTTTGACGAAAAATCAACCCACAAAACAGTTCGAAACAATATATTTGTTCGGTTTTCGGTGAGAAATCAAGCGCAAAACAGGTTCAAAAAATTTTTATGTAAAATTTTATTGTAAACCAGCTTTTTCTTTCATATCAGCAGTTGTTTGCTGGATGTTACATACTTAAAAACACAAATCATTAAATGTCCCGGTGAATGTGCACATCTTGAATGATCAGAGGTCCAAAAAAAATTCGAAATATAGCGTGCGTAATTGAATTGAATTCCAATTTTAAACACAGCTTACGTTCATGTTTTTAAATACGTGTCTTTAGTTGGTCCCTTATCATGAGCATATAATGACCTGTACGAGCAGCGAGCAGAAGATCACTCTGCAATTGCGTCGATGTTCTGTTGGTGGGTGGTTGATCGTTTGCCGTTAGTTGTAATTTTGGTTGTTTGTCGTTATTCGCGTCGGATTGGTAAAGTTCCTGCTACCAGTTTGTTTCGGTACTACTATGGGGGTTTCATTGAATGTTGCTGGAACTGGACTAGGACTGCGCACCCTAAAATAGGCTTCAAATTCGTCTATTGAGTCAGATACATAAGACATTTGCACCGGTCAAACAGAAACTACGGTAAACACTAAAGTAATAGCATCTTATGTCATAAAAGATAGTGTATGTAAAATTTAATTCAATTAAAATTTAGTTCAATATTAACAGTTTTAAGCTATTAATATTTGAAGATTTATGAACAACTATAAAATTCAATTATTTCTTGTAAGTTTATTTTAGTGGAAATACATATTGAATAGGTTTTGGTTAATCTACTGCAATAGTCAAAATAACTTAAGTATTGTTTTATTATAATCATATACCTATTATTATTTTTCTATTTGAAAGAAATTTGGACTAGGTCACTTTCTCATGAATATAAAATCAATTATTTCAAGTTTGTTTTAGTACATATTGAAAGTAGGTTTTTGTTAATCT